CAGATTCCAGTGTTACAAAATCTAAACCAGCTAGTTGAGATTAATCTAGATTTTCTCAGATGGTCTCTGTGAACTCAGCTTTAGGTGTACGGAATGATTGTCAAATAGAGTAGCCTTATCTACCCGTTTCTGCTTTTTCCATAGATAATGTGCGAGCGTTGATCCTTGCTGGGTTGCTGGGGCTTCTGCTGGCCTTCCTGGCAGTGAGGTTGTTCAACCCTGAGGGACAGCGATACACCTTCCTCAGGGAGATAGAGAGAGTGACGAAGGTGTTCCCCAGCCAGTGCTCTGAGGAGTACGATCCACCTGGGGAGGCACCTCCAGACGACCCAGCCCTCAGAGCCGGTCACCTTGATGCTGACAGCGGGCAGTAGGGCGAAGAGGACACTGCACTGCCAGGCCCAGCGCCTGGCCTCCGCCTTCTCCTCCTCCCTCAATGGCTCTGTCTTCCACATCGACGAGGTCAGCAAGGCCGACCAGGACGGCGACAGAGTCAAGCGGGACATCGACGGCCAGCTGCAAAAAGCCTTTGAGTGGGACCAGCCTGTGGCCGTCATCCACCATTTCGATGATCTGCCCCCAGGCTCCACACTGATCTTCTACCGCTACTGCGACCCCGAGAACGCCTCCTACAAGAAAGCATTGCTCATTTTCACCGTGCTTCTAGAGGAGAAGGAAAAGCTGCCAGCCAGTCTGATCGATGTGGAGGAAATGGTGAAAGACTACCTCCAGAAGAGGTTCCTCGACTCCAACTACCCAGCTGCCTACAACATGTTAGACCTGGACAAGTTCAGTGGACTATGGAGCCGCATCTCCCACCTTGTCCTGCCGGTGGCACTAGAGTTGAGGATAGAACCACAAAACAACCTGAAATCTTTTTCACAGATTCTTCATAGTAGTGCAATTATTATCATCATATAGAGCAGGGTTCCCCAACTGGCAGCCCGTGGGTGATTTTATTTGGCACCCCAAGTTTTCTGAGACATTTTTTTAATAAATAAAGGGTTAAAAAAAAAGAACAATAATTAATTTTTGGACATAAAAGACTAAAAACACCAGCAAATCAACTACCAGTCATTTTAATTTTGGAAATCTGTTACCAAGTATTCTGACGCATAATAGAGCGATATAGTGTGTGTATAGCGAAGTTACCATTACTCATAGCCAAGTTATCGTTACTCATTGTATATTATTATTATTATTATTACGTGTTCTTACTTTTCTATTATTTCTCTGGCCTGGTATTGTATCGTTAGTAAAATGTTGGTATCGTGAAAACACTACAGTGTATAGCAAAGTTATCATTACTCACTGCCAAGTTATCGTTACTCATTGTATATTATTATAACTTTGACTATTTAGTGTTATGTTTTAAATATAATTTCTCTATTTTTCTTTCCTTCTGCATTGTTAGTCTACACCTGTTGTTTACGAAGCATGTGACAAAAAAACATTTCATTTGATTTTGATTGGATTTATGTGATCGTATACAAAATGTAAGCAAGGTTTGAAATGATAATGTTTTAGTCAAATATTATATCTGTTTGGCCTTCTTGCTGTCAATTTGCAGTCTACAAATTATTTGTAATTATGTTCTGGCTCCCTGAACATCTCTCTCAAAAAAAAAATTTGTCCTGCGGCTAAATCTAGTTGCTGTTCCCTGATATAGAAAGTTGTGATGTTATATCACTCCGCATTGTGAATGTGTTATGGCTGGCTGGTGCTTCTGGGTGTTTGTGTGTACAGTATGTATGAGACCAGGTTGATAATGATGATGGATGACTTCTTCTAAAGTGTATAACTAGTGTGACAAAAAAGTGTCATTGGGCCTCAGAAAGGAAAAGGTGTACCAAATAACCAGCAGGTGGAGAAATACAATGTAGTGTAATAGCTGTCTCACACTGACCTCTCCACCTTCAGTGTCACTGAAAGTTTCTCAGGAGATGCAAGTGTATCTAAAAGTAACATTAAAATAAAGACATACATCTAGGAGATGATCGGCCAATAAGTATTGCTATTTTATTTGATATGCAAAGTCATACACGCACGTGTCAAAATATACACTGGTAGAAATGTATTTGTCCTTTCACTGTAAATCATGTAGTGATTTCTACAAAACTGGCTAAGTTCAAATACTGCAGACCTGCTATATATCCCTAATCTCCAACTCTGTCTTTGCTTTAAAATGCCAATAAGGTGGCTGAGGTACAGTACGTTACCCCTATACAATGAAAAGCCCTATGTAAATACAATCCATATTATAATACTATTATTTAACCTACCTCACATATTAATTTAGAAGATACAATCTCTTTATATTTGTCCCTAAATGTTTCATCCTTCTCTACCAAAAGAAAAGCTGGTGAAAAAAGAAGAGGAAGAAACAAAACCAGCACCAGTGTGGCCATCCCTAAGGCCAAACAATATAATATCATTGTCGTCTTCTCTCCTCTTCTCGCTTTATGTTGGGTGGGGCTAAGGAGAGAAGGAAGGTGCTGATTGGTTAATTCATATTTTTCTTCACCCTACTTGCCTAGGCTGGACACAGGAAGTAGTGGACATAACTATAGGAAGTTGTGGTATTAGGGGAGGAGTCTCCTTTTCTATGGCCAAAACCAAGCCAAGACGGTTGCTCAGGCAGATGCCTTGCTTCCCCCTCGGAATGGAAACACCATCCGAGGTCTCTAAAGCCAGAAAACAAAGAGGTGGGCATAACCAGTTAATTGGGAATGAGGGTCATTGTGTAAGTGCACAGCCATAAGACAGTCAACACTATCATTTAACAACATAGCGCCTACTACAAAATGCCATGGTAGTTAACATCAACACTGTGTCATGACACAAAAAATTGTCAAATTACTTATTCTATTTATGTCTCATGTTATGCCTTGTCACATTATGGCTTTCAACAAGTGTTACAACCGTTCTAACAGTACATCAGAAGATCTACATTGTAATGTGAGGTGTTATTTACATATCCATCCATCAATGGGATCTTATTTAAAGGCAGATTAATATACAGATAATACATTTAACAGTGGAGGCAGGTAAAGGGAGGATGGCTCATAGTAATGGCTTGAATGGAATGATAGCCATTACAATGAACCTGTCCTCCGATTTAAAATGACACCAGCCACAGCTGACATATCAACACATGCAATTCAAGGGGGAGGAAAGTACATGATTAGGACACAACAGATCCCAGCCTCCAGAGTTGTGATCCTGGATGATTTCTACATCAGGTCAAGGGTCAAATGAGGAGAACAGGATAAGAGAGAAGGATTGCATAATATGCATCTGTTGGAGATCAAAGGTCACACAGAACTAGGTTTCAAACGAGGGGGGGGAATCAATGACATAATTACACACACACTTCTTTACAATATAACAGCCATGTCAATATGCCTGCTTTATTTTTCTAAAATAGTTAGTATAAAAGTTAGTATAAAAGCTTTACCTTTTATAGAATGACATAACAATATAAATCATATGATAAATAGGCAATACTGCTATGTAATATGAGTTGATGTAAAGGACCAGTGCAGTCAAAATTCAGATTTTCCTGTGTTTTGTATCATATTGTACAACAGCTGATGAAACACTGTTTCCTCATTGTAAAAAAAGATATCACTATTATTTTCTGATAGTTGCTGGTTGAAAATACAATCTACACAGGACCTTCTAATCACAACGTTTGCATGAGCAGGGGTTTTGGCTTTCCATTGACACAGAATGTTATTTTTCGCTTACGTTTTTATGTACTGAATAAAAATTTCCATTGCATTTTGCAACTCTACCGATAGTTTTGTCACAAAAACTGTTCCGTTAAATTGCAAATGTGCCTACTCTGGTCTTGGCACCTGCGTCTACATGACGAGATTATTATGGATAAGAGCGAGAATGTTTATTTGTCAAACGGAAGTCAAGCATCGATCATCATGTCACCAGAATAAGACACTCGATATTTATTGGAAAGGAGCATCAAGATCACTGTGCACTTTCACCACCCTGTGAAGTTCATCAATTTATTTCATCTGAAGCCTAATAAATCGTATGGTAACACTGGTATGACCACTAGATGTGACATGACACTCACTATTGAAGCCATTCTAGTGCCTACTAATGCTATATGGGCCACATGTCTCAGAGTAGAAGTGCTTATTTAGGATCAGGTCCCCTCTAAATATCCTGTTCATATTGGGATAAATGTAAACTACATCATTAGAGGGATAAAGTTTGGTCAGAGAGGGAAAGAGGAGGGCACATGTCAGATCTATCTAACATTTAAACTTACTTATAAGGTACCAAAGAGTTTGCAGGTTTATTTCTTCTTTCCTCCTAATGACTTGCTCTCAGTTTTTTTCTTCTGTGCCTCGTAGAACAAAAGACACCTTTATGTTAACACAAGGAGGGATTTTATAGAGTAATAAAGCTGGTAGATAGTATAAGGTCCAAGGCCACAGTTATTGGGTGTAGGGTGAAGTTGCCCCTAGACGCTGGTCTTGGGTCAGTTTAAAAGTTTCCCCACTAGTGTTAAGGTTAGGACTGAGGAAGCTGATTCTAGATCTGCACATAGGGGAAACGTCACCCCTGAGCCAGTTATTGTCAGTGCTACCCTGCTGTAGTAGTGCCTTGTAACAGGACATACTGTATCTACACACAATACAAGGAAAGCAAAGCTGAGGCAGAGGTGTCATGCACTTTTTTCAAAGGGGAACTGATGGCCAAATTCGATATCTTTTAGTTAATTATGCATTGAAGAAACATATATTTTATATTTTCAGCAAACAAATGCATAAAAGGGCCCCCAGTTTCAATGGGCATGACACATTCAGCTTAACTTCAGTCAATTCAGGAAAATAATTCAGCGCACAATTTTAACTACAAATGCCAATGTTCTCAATTGCTTTTTTTCTCAAGAGTCTGTATAATGAGTCAGCCATATTGTATTCCATGTTTTTTCCTTTTATTTTTAACAAACAATGCAAATGAGATTGACCTCAATTCTTGTGGTCAACGAGGTGTGAGGAGAAGGGTTTTACCTCTGTCATGGCATCGTCAATCTGTTTTAGTTCTTCATAGTGGTCTCGAGAATCCCGCAAAGGCTGCACCATAATCTCCTCAATCTGGGGGAAGAGCTAGGACACACATTAAGATGTAGTCATTTAAGAGTGTCTCAGAACATGAAAGATTGTCATCCCATTAGCTTTTTGTCCCAAAATAGTTTTCATCCATTATCCTACTTAATTTTTTAAGTCACCTGCTGCCACTGATTTACATCCATAGATTAAGGTGCAGTTTCCCAGACACCGATTAAGCCTAGTCCCGGACTAAAAAGCATTTTCAATGGAGATTCTCCATTGCACTTGTTTTTAGTCCAGGACTAGGCTTAATCGGTGTCCAGGAAACCGTCCCACAGTGTTATAGCATACATTTTTGTTGGCAGACATTTTGGGTTGTTGAATCCCATCTCTGGATCTAACCCAGTCACAGGCGCACTCGGAAGAAGAAACACACCTTCATAACAGTCTCAAACATTGGAATGAGGACAAATTTGATGAAGCCGATCTGAGCGGTGGGTTTGGTCACTTTGTCCCGATCCATGAACGGAGCTACTGGGAGACCCTCAGATTTCTCTCTGTCACTCTGAACACAAAAACAGATAATGAAAGCCTATACAGAACATTTGCTTCTTTCCTCATTGGAAAGAAAGGGGCAAACCTCCCCACACACATTGGCAAAAGCATATATAGTTTGCCTTAAACCAAGGATTTGTGTGATTTCATGAGATAAGAAATTTTAATATTTTTAAGGTGAAAATACTTCCTTGCAACATTGAAGGTTGTTCAAGACTCGTGGACATCTCTCGTGGACAGATGCACGTACCATAAATGGTAGTAGCATCTGTCGACAGGATGCAATGACTAATGAGAACTTTGTTCTGGTACACTGATGTTTCGTCACTGATCATTTGGACAAATCTAAATTTCATAGGCTCTCGCATCTTTGAATTCCGGAAGGGGAAGGTACATTTGGCCCATAGACTTGCCCGAAACTGGCTGAGAGTTTTCATTTGGAGGGGTGGAGACTTTGCTAGTCTTGTAAGAGTGTTTTCTAACATGTCTCCCCCCAGAACTTAATTTGCATGATTTTTGTTCTGTGTGTCCCAGATTAGTCAAGACTATACTTTTTCTTCACAATTACTGTTATTATTTAAAATAATGGTGAGTTAATTGACAATAATTTTCAAAAGAGCAGTAACTCACCTGCATAAAGTATTCCTCCAGCAGGCAGTCTAACCAGGGCTCGGCCACCTCCGTGGGTCTCACCTCGTTGGAGATGTCACAGCACTTGATCAGCACCAGCTTTAGCTGCACAGAGACGCAACAACAATCCTCAAACATAATGGATGTAACACCTAACAACCTTGTCAAGAGGTCTTGGCATTAAGGCTAAGGTGCTGGGTTGTCCATTGCTAGACCCGGGTTTGGGCTTCCGCCAAAGTCTCTGCAATACATTTGACACATACTGTATATCAACCATGACCACCCTGACTTGAGGATATACGTAAATGCATACATACACATTTCACATGCTCGTCGTTGGTGAAGTCAAAGTTGTCCACGTTCTGCTTGAAGGAGTCCAGTATCTCACCGTGTCTGGCCATGTCTGTGGCTAAGATGAGAGTGATGATAGCCTGCCAAGGTCGCAAATAATATCATTATACTATACTAGAAACCAATCCTGACCAAAATCACGACCAAAAGCCATCCTCTGTGCGAAACTATCCCTATGTTTAGGTGGTGATGTGTAATACCATTCATTTTACAATAACGTTGGTTTCTATTCATGGTAGGCTATACACTGAGTGTACAAAACATTAGGAACACCTGCTATTTCCATGACATAGACTGACCAGGTGAATCGAGGTGAAAGCTATGATCCCATATTGAAGTCACTTGTTAAATCCACTTCAGTGTAGATGAAGGGGAGGAGACAGGTTAAGGAAGGATTTTTAAGCCTTGAGACTTGTGTATGTATGGATTGTGTATGTGTGCCATTCAGAGGGTGAATGGCAAGACAAAATATTTAAGTGCCTTTGAACGGGGTATGGTAGTAGGTGCCAGGCGCACCAGTTTGAGTGTGTCAAGAACTGCAACGCTGCTGGGTATTTCATGCTCAACAGTTTCCCGTGTGTATCAAGAATGATCCACCACCCAAAAGACATCCAGCCAACATGACACAACTGTGGGAAGCATTGGAGTCAACATGGGCCAGCATCCCTGTGGAACACTTTGGACAACTTGTACAGTCCATGCCCCGATGAATTGAGGCTGTTCTGAGGGCAAAAGGGGGTACAACTCAATATTAGGAAGGTGTCCCTAATGTTTTGTACACTCACTGTATGTTTAACCTAACGTAACTAAACCCCATTTTTAGCTTCTAAACTATAATACATGCTACTTCACAAATGCTTTGTTATTCATATTGCAGTGAGGCCCTTGCTGTGAGAAACCTGGTGCCTCACCTGTCTGAGGTGTTTGAAGGCCTCCGTTTCTATGTTGGCGAAGATGTTACACTCTGGCATGGAGATGATCTGGAAGGCCACGGCACAGTGGTGGTTCTCCAGGGGCGAGATGTCGTTGTAGCGCACCGCCAGCTCTGTGTGAGCGTTTATCTGGTACCTGCCACAGGACATAGCATTAGCACAGGAGTACTGTATGTGTTCATATATCTATATGATAGCTATGGTCATATAGGCTACTGTATGGAGGATGCTACAACCACAGCTATTCACTACTATAGAACAACTAGGGTTCCATTTAAATTCAGTCAGCTCAGGAAGTAAACTGACATTTCAATTCTAATTCCAATTCTCCATGAGAATGTTTTTAAATAAATAAAATAGAAATTCAGTTTATTTCCTGAATTGACTGATTTGAAAAGAAATGTACACCCCAACGCTGACACCACTACTATAGCAACAAGAGCCTTCTAAATCAACAGCTACTGCAAGCATGGCTGGTGCTGCTACTGTCAATATATATACAGTACCTTCAGAAAGTATTTACATTTACATTTTACATGTTAGTCATTTAGCAGACGCTCTTATCCAGAGCGACTTACAGTTAGTGAGTGCATACATTTTCATACTGGCCCCCCGTGGGAAACGAACCCACAACCCTGGCGTTGCAAGCGCCATGCTCTACCAACTGAGCTACACGGGGCCCACTCACACCCCTTGACTTTTTCCCACATTTTGTCGTGTTACAGCTGGAATTTAAAATGGATTAAATTGAGATTTTGTGTCACTGGCCTACACACAATACCCCATAATGTTAAAGTGGAATAGACATTTTGACCTTTTTACAAATTAATTAAAAATGAAAAGCTGAAATGCCTTGAGTCAATAAGTATTCAACCCCTTTGTTATGGCAAGCCTAAATAAGTCCAGGAGTAAACATTTGCTTAACATTAGCAAAGTATTCTTTGTGGTTAAGTCTCTAAGAGCTTTGCACACCTGGATTGTACAATATTTGCACATTATTATTTTTTAGAATTCTTCAAGCTCTGTGAAGTTGGTTGTTGATCATTGCTAGACAGTCATTTTGAAGTCTTGCCATATATTTTCAAGCCGATTTAAGTCATAACTAGATACTAGGCCACTCAGGAACATTCAATGTTGTCTTGGTAAGCAACTCCAGTGTATATTTTGCCAATGGTGACTTTAAAACAGGGTTTAATGGCTGTGATAGGAGAAAATTGAGGATGGATCAACAAAACATTGTAGTTACTCCACAACACTAACCTAAATGACAGAGTGAAAAGAAGGAAGCATGTACAGATAAAAATATTCCAAAACATGTATCCTGTTTGCAATGAGGCACTAAAGTAAAACTGCAAAAAAATTGGCTAATAAATGAGATGTATGTCCTGAATACAAAGCGTTATGTTTGGGGCAAAACCAACACAACACATCACTGACTACTATTTTTTATTTTATTTGTTACTACTACTCTTTATATTTTCAAGCATGCTGGTGTCTGCATCATGTTATGGGTATGCTTATCATCGGCAAGGACTAGGGAGTTTTTTAGGATAAAAAGAAACGTAATAGAGTTAAGCACAGCCAAAATCCTAGAGGAAAACCTGGTTCAGACTGCTTTCCAACAGACCCTGGGAGACAAATTCACCTTTCAGCAGGACAATATTCTAAAACACAAGGCAAAATATACACTGGAGTTGCTTACCAAGAAAACATTGAACGTTCCTGAGTGGCCTAGTTACAGTTTTGACTTAAATCAGCTTGAAAATATATGGCAAGACATTGAAAGTGGCTGTCTAGCAATGATCAACAATCAACTTGACAGAGCTTGAAGAATTTCTCAAATAATAAATGTGCAAATATTGTACAATCCAGGTGTGCAAAGCTCTTAGAGACGTACCCACAAAGACTCACAGCTTTAATCACTGCCTAAGGTGATTCTAACATGTATTGACTCAGGGGTGTGAATACTTATGTAAATGAGATATTTCTGTATTTCATTTTTAATACATTTGCAAAAATGTCTAAAAACATGTTTTCACTTTGTCATCATGGGTTATTGTGTTTAGATGGGTGAGAAAAAAATCCCATTTAATCCATTTTGAATTCAGGATGTAACACAACACAATGTGGAATAAGTCAAGGGGTGTGAATACTTTAAGGCACTGTATATATTTAAAAAAAGGTATATGTAATGTGACCTACGTGTTGTTGTAGCCTGGGTGATCTAGGTCGTGACACACGGCAGCTGTCATGAGGACGCACATGTCAGTCATGGTGAGCCTCTCCTGAGAAACACAGCTAGAGTCAGTGTGCCACATACCCACCCACACAACCACCCACACACTATCTGAGGTGTGTTCTCACTTGTAGGTTGCACAGGTGAATCATTCCATACATCATCTGACTGACACAGAAGCAGTGGCGGAAGTTATGGAACGGGTTGTTGCGGTAATTCTCCTGGATTCCCAGCTGAAACACAAAGCAACAAACATCATACAAACAAGAAATCAAGCCCATTTTAATAGTGTGCACATTTTGAGTCAGCTCATACGTGCATATTTTTTCTTTCATGAGATAAAGAATGGAAATTGAGGCTAATGATTACTTGGGTAAAGATAGGGGTTTCCACGTGTGGCTCTCACTCACCAGCCATCGTTTCAGTGTGATGGGGTTCATATTGAACTCCTTCACCAGGCCCAGATCATGATACATGTACTCCAGACAGCTTAACATCTACACATTGGAAACACAATACAGTAATTAGTACTATCAGAATATGTTTAACGCTACACATAGCAATTGTGACTAAGACCGCGATTAGCTATCTTTATAGATTGCCTTGGAAAAAGTATCAGAGCAAAAATAATCATTTGTCAGATAAAAATACATTTTTCATTCATTCATTCATGCAATGCGTATTTGCCCAAATTAGGCTACATGAAATATCCCCAACCTCATTGTGCTCCCAATGCCAAACGTCAAATGTAGGTTTCTTGAGAGCTTCTATGGTCTCCTGGGATAGAGTATACTGTAGACGTAGAGCAAAGAGTAATGGAAGTCATTTGTTCAGCATCAACAAAAGGTGTACTGGTTATTATGCTTTATTTTTTATTTAATTTATTTATTTAACCTTTATTTAACTAGGCAAGTCAGTTAAGAACAAATTCTTATTTATAATGACGGCCTACCAAAAGCCAAATTGCCTCCTGTGGGGACAGGGGCTGGGATTAAAAATAAAAATATAAGACAAAACACACATCACGACAAGAGAGACACCACAACACTACATAAAGACAGACCTAAGACAACAACATAGCATGGCAGCAACACATGACAACACAGCATGGTAGCAACACCACATGACAACAACATGGCAGCAGCACAACATGGTAGCAGCACAAAACATGGTACAAACATTATTGGGAACAGACAACAGCACAAAGGCAAGAAGGTAGAGACAACAATACATCACGTGAAGCAGCCTCAACTGTCAGTAAGAGTGTCCATGATTGAATCTTTGAATTAAGAGATGGAGATTAAACGGTCCAGTTTGAGTGTTTTTTGCAGCTCATTCCAGTCGCTAGCTGCAGCGAACTGAAAAGAGGAGCGACCCAGGGATGTGTGTGCTTTGGGGACCTTTAACAGAAGGTGACTGGCAGAACGGGTGTTGTATGTGGAGGATGAGGGCTGCTGTAGGTATCTCAGATAGGGGGGAGTGAGGCCTAAGAGGGTTTTATAAATAAGCATCAACCAGTGGGTCTTGCGACGGTTATACAGAGATGACCAGTTTACAGAGGAGTATAGAGTGCAGTGATGTGTCCTATAAGGAGCATTGGTGGCAAATCTGATGGCCGAATGGTAAAGAACATCTAGCCGCTCAAGAATACCCTTACCTGCCGATCTATAAATTATGTCTCCGTAATCTAGCATGGGTAGGATGGTCATCTGAATCAGGGTTAGTTTGGCAGCTGGGGTGAAAAAGGAGCGATTACGATAGAGGAAACCAAGTCTAGATTCAACCTTAGCCTGCAGCTTTGATATGTGCTGAGAAAAGGACAGTGTACCGTCTAGCCATACTCCCAAGTACTTGTATGAGGTGACTACCTCAAGCTCTAAACCCTCAGCGGTAGTATTAACTCCGGTGGGGAGAGGGGCATTCTTCTTACCAAACCACATGACCTTTGTTTTGGAGGTGTTCAGAACAAGGTTAAGGGCAGAGAAAGCTTGTTGGACACTAAGAAAGCTTTGTTGTAGAGCGTTTAACAGAAAATCTGGGGAGGGGCCAGCTGAGTATAAGACTGTATCATCTGCATATAAATGGATGAGAGAGCTTCCTACTGCCTGAGCTATGTTGTTGATGTGAATTGAGAAGAACGTGGGGCCTAGGACCGAGCCTTGGGGTACTCCCTTGGTGACAGGCAGTAGCTGAGACAGCAGATGTTAAGACTTTATACACTGCACTCTTTGAGAGAGGTAGTTAGCAAACCAGGCCAAAGACCCCTTAAAGACACCAACACTCCTTAGCCGGCCCACAAGAATGGAATCGTCTAACGTATCAAAAGCTTTGGCCAAGTCAATAAGAATAGCAGCACAACATTGCTTAGAATCAAGGGCAATGGTGACATCATTTAGGACCTTTAAGGCTGCAGTGACACATCCATAACCTGAGTGGAAACCAGATTGCATACCAGAGAGAATACTATAGACATCAAGAAAGCCAGTCAGTTGATTATTGACAAGTTTTTCCAACACAGCTTTAACTGTTTACCTTTGGGTAATTTGGGACATCTCGTCTTGGGGACAGTTTCTTGCCGTCCCCTGTGAAGCTATATTTGCAGCCACAAGTCACTCTAATAATAAGAAGCAACATTGGGGAAAACAGAAGAGCTGTAGCCTTTAGGTTAAGTATATATAAGAACATATTCAAGGGTCTTTCATGTAATGGGCCTTCAATCAACACTGATTTAAGGGCAACATATGGCTTAGTACATTTTAAGAGGCTCTTATTTTACATGATTTTAATCATAATAGACCACACATACAGTATTAATGAGACAATCTGCAGTTAAACCATTATAGTTTTAACCATGTTTTGAGGCTATACAGTGTTTGTTTACAATTACATTGTTTACAAAAAAAATTGTAAAACATGCTTATATTTTGGGTTCTGAAGGGGTACGGCAGTTGAACTTAGCTCATGAGGCATTTATAAGTTATATTCTTCAAGAATCAATGGATATAATTAATTTAACAATCCAAAAATGGATGTAGCAATTGCAGATAGCCCCTTTAAGGGAAATTTACTGAACAATATGTTACTTTGGGCCCTTAAAAGGCCCTTTGAATCAATCATCATGGATTTAAGAGCGTCTTCTATATAATATTTTCAACATTGACCATACCAACATTGACCTTTTAAACTTCAATGTTGTAAATGTAAACATATTCCTCTGGATTCTGTTTAATTCATTATTATGATTATTATTACTGCTACTATCTGATATGTTAATTTGGTTTATTTGCAGTTGTCTGACCTTCCTCCTCCCTTTGAGTTCATCTCATCCCGTAATTTCCTCAGGTCGTTCTTGCACTTCTCAATCTCCACCATTTTAAGCCCTTCTACTGCAACAGAGAGTCATTGTATACAGTATTAAATATTTCACAACAAAAACTATATATTATTTTTATATATTCCATTTTTATATTGCATATACTGTGTATGTGTGAATATTCCCACAAACTAAAGCCAGTGGTGCCAACGTTAATACAGTAACGGCATCACTCACACTCCACTCTCTTCTCCAACATGGCAAGCCTATTGGTCACCTCTGTCTTCAACTCATTGATTCTAAAAGCCCTGAAACAGAAATGGAGGAAAACATAACTCCTTTACTTGAGCAGAAATCTGTGTGAGCCTAGGCAACAGTGGACACCTATGTTTTATACTTATTTTCTTACAAATAAAATCAATAAAATCAACACATTAGACTGAACAGATCAATGAAAAGAGAGACAAAACCAGACATTGGTGCGATGGCCACAGATATTTTCTTTTCAAACTTGAGCAGATAAACTATACTAAACAATACACTCTGGATAAGAGTATCTGCTAAATGACTAAAATATAAAAAATGTAATACTTCTATATCACCTGCTAAATTGCTCTGCCACCTGAGACAAAACATTCTGGAACATGTCTTCTTTGTCTGAAAGGAGGAAAAATATGTTTCTGTGGTTCTGAATTTGCTTCTGTATTATCTATTTACCATTACTGTATGTGACTGGAAATGATAGAATTCGCAAATGCTTCGAGTTGTAGCGTACCTCCCAGCTGACCAGCCGACTGAGGCATTACTTTGTACAGGGAGCTGCGATGAGAGAAAACAACAACAACAGATGGCAGATTTCAGTAAACACTGTAATTGCAGCTAGTATCCCACCCTCCAATTTAAGTGATTTAGCTTGAACCATCTGGAAAAACGTTTACCTACATAGAGTCACAATATTATCTTACAGTATTGTTCCAGCAGATTTTTTTGTTGTTGTTTACATTTTTTATTATTATTTTTTTTTTAATAGGAGATTATATGGTAATAATGTAAACTTTCTGCTACGTATGTCTACACCAAACCAATGACTAATATAAGGTCATTACCTATTCACAATGTATTGTCTGAATAAATACCAGGGCAAACAGTGGACTGTAAAAAATAAAGTGTTTCCAAAAACACGTGTCATTACTTTGGGGTGTTGGTAGGCATTGTGGGATCGATGGAGACCAACGCTCCCTCTGAGTCCATCAGCATTATAGCTGTATTTCTGAGGAAAATCAAAGTATTACACAAAGTATTAAATACATCAAAGTATTGTAGGCTGCATCATGTTAAGTGGGGAAAAGAGAAATGGTAAATAAAAGAACACTTTAAACTATGAGGACAGACAATGCAAGTTTCAAAGGCAAGGAGATCCATAATGCAAACTCAAGAGTTTTAGCATGATAAGTAATGTTAGGCAGTTAGCATATTGATTTAACGTTGTTGATAAGTGCAGGACATAAGGGTGTACAGATGTAGGATCTTAATTTGACCACCCTGTTGCAGGAGAACTTTCCTGCAATGCAGGAAATGTAAAACCTGTAGTGTATTTGTGGATTAAAAGGCTTCTGCAGTTTGTAATTTCCACTTTGAAATTTCAGACTTGATTTCCCCTTACGAAAAATATATCAACCCCTACAAAAATGTCCATTAATTATAATCCACATTTTCTGTTTCTGCAGGATTATTTTCCTGCTGTAGCAAACTGGCTCAAATTAAGATCCTACATCTGTATGTATGAGAGTGAAAGAGGGCAGTGAGGTGCCACTGACCTGGCTATGTTAGAGGAAGAACACAGCAGTTCTCGGATGTCACAGGGGCTGCAGTATCGACTGAAAATCACCTAAAAACATTGGCAAAAACATTAAATACAAATATCGATACAAATAGTACTGATGTAGATCAAACTGTCTATCTTCATACTTAATACTGTCTTGGTACTGTATTTGCACATACAAAGTATTTCAGGGATACTGAAGATAAATAATACTCCTCAAGTAATGATTTTCTTTATAACCGTAAACTCCTTATGGTGTTGTAAACTGAAACCAATAGAATGAATATCAATAATGATGAGAGACAGAGCATGTTCACTCCAGGTGTTACGGCTGCCTTTGTGTCACAACCACCTGTGACACACATCACCCGTCTTTTCTCGTCACCTCTTGACCTGACCAGAGCCCCCATACTCTCACAGGAGATGAACACAAGGTGGCCACATGTAAGGCAGAGAGAGTTCAAGTGGTTTGAGTTGTAAGTTCTATCCATCAAACTACTTCACATTTACTACAATGTAATTTGCTGTATCTAAAAATCCGCTATGGCAATCAATGTCAAAACCAAAACACATTTTCCTTCAACTTTCTTTCCATCCTCATTCATGACAATTACAAATTAATATAATTTAAATACCTCAAGCATCCCTTCAATACTTATGATTCAGTTACACTACTTAAAGCTCCTCCTTATAAAGTGTTATATAATGCCTTAAAAACATGCATGCCATTGTTGTTGATATTATTTGCATTATATCAGCTGTAATGAACTGATAATGGCAGCTGGTGTACCAGGATCATAAGTTCTGTCACTCAGTCTCACCAGAGAGGAAGAGGCGAAGCGAGAGGTTTCACTCTTGCCAAAATCTGTTAAAAATAAGCCCAATCCGTTTATATGGGCTTATTTTGGACCATGAGCATCTCATCATTATATACAGATTTCTAGTCTCACTCACCCTCTGCATTTTCCCATCCACATCTAGGTAGACCGTCTTGGGTGCGTATGATGAGGAGCTGGTACCCATAGTGACTTTGTCCCTCGCTCCTCGTCTCTCTATGAAAAAATGAAATGGGAACTGGGAAAGGCACAAATGACAGTTGTCCTTTACTCATGTGGATCGTTGGTACCATGCTCACCTGTCTACAATTAATTTCATGTCATTGTGGTGTACCGTGGGGTTGAGAGTAAGTATGCAGGTACAGAAGGAAATACAGATGTTGATGTCTAGGTTGAAATTAATAAATTATATGAAATATTATATGTGTGGAAAAAAGTTGTATGTTTTTCATTCAGAGCAGCTATTCATCCATTCCATTTATTACATTCATGCTGGATCATTACCATGAAAAGCAAGTAAAAGTAACCTTATTTATCATCATTTAAAAATATTAATTGCATATATTTGAATAAATAAATTAATAGATTAATATAAATATTAGCATTTTCCTGTCAACCAGTTGGTACATAACACATTGAAATATAAAGACACTCTTGTAGCAAAAAATAATATCAAGATCAAAAACATCAATGCTAATTCATCTTGCAAATAATCTAACGAAACTAGACTTACATACTTCAGTCAGTCACTGTCAGAAGCAAACCTCTCCTGCCTGTTGATATGCAAGGGGGATGGAATACAACCTGTATGAAACCTGGGGGAGGGATCCACTACCAGCCCTTTAAATATCACCCATTAACTCTGCAGTTGCTAAGGTACCGTTACTACGGCGAAGTAGGCTATCCCCTGACCCTCTCACATCATCCACTCCTTTCAGGAAACTATGAATTCAGATCATGGTGGTAGAATCTCAATAGTATTTAATTGAGTCCTCGCGTCCTCTCCTCGCCTCCAACACAATTTGAGGAGGCGGCTAGGAAAGAGGACGCGAGGAAACACTATTGAGATGCACCCACGGTGGTAGAATAGAATCAAACATTGACATCATGTGCATGTGTTCAGCTTTGATGGTCTGATTAGGTAATGCCTATTCAATGGGTTACCTCAGATTTGAATGGTGAATGGTGCACGTCAGGTGTCTCCACATTGAGTTCAAACCACATTCATACATCATTAACATAATTAATAAAGTGGGCTTGTTCTGATTAATTAATAGTTCACTTAGGGTCGTGGAAATGAAAGGTCCAGATGTTGTTAGAAGTTTAGTGCATCCCAAATAGTACCATTTTGCCTATATAGTACACTGTTTGACCAGTCCTATGGGCCCTGGTCAAAAGTTGTGCACTATAAAGGGAATCGGGTGCTATTTGAGATGCAGCCATGGGTGATGTGGTATCAGAATAGATGTTTTTGAGTAATATGGGATTTAGATAAGCGAGTATCAGCCGTTTCTGTGCTGTTACCAATTTTCCACATTACATAAAATATGACAAGATAAAAACATCCTGGAGCATTTTACATTTCAGATTTTAGGTAGACTTCCTTTTAATAAATAATTCCCCTTTGAATATTCATTCTATATAAAAGTAAAACATGCCCTTTTCAGGAATTGAAATACAGTTGGTCATGCTCAGATTTATTCAGCTTAATCAGACATCAGATGTACATACACTACATCATATAAAACTTTTCTAAACCTACTTTGAATATTAGTCATATAACAACATAATAAAGCCTGCCCTCTGCATAGCTTATGCATGTCATAACGTCGGACTTCATTTGGGGCACTACAATGATGTGCATCCCTCCTTAATTTTTTATTTACGCCACCTCTAGCAACACATCTGACTACAACAAAGCAACAGAGGGTCACTGAAGTACAATTATCACCTCCACTAGCGAGGATGCTCAGTTGGTACAGGATGCTGCTTGCAACACCAGGGTTGTGGGTTCGATTCCCACGGGGGAGCAGTACAAAAAAAGTATGAAAATGTATGCACTCACTACTGTAAGTCGCTCTGGATAAGAGAGTGTCTTCTAAATGACTAAAATTTTAAACAAAAAATAAATATCTACAAGGAATGAAACACCAAGTGGACACTGGTCCCCTAGGTGTTTACTTGGACAGTGAAGCTAAAACTTTTCATTTGGCTCTATACTCCAGCATTTTGGATTTGACATGAAATGTTTTATATGAGCCTACAAGACAGAATGTCACCTGTTATTTGAGGGTGAATAAGGATGAGTGAGAAAGTTAGATGCACAAAGATCATGCCCCCAAAACATGCTAACCGTTCACCATTATCAATAACAGTGGGGTATGATATTTATGCCTCCAACTTTCTCACTCATCATTATTCACGATTCATTCATGATTATCTGTAATCATGGAAGCATCCACATTAAAATGTAGACGTGTTCCGAAACATATCCTATTCTTATTTACAATAAAAAAGTGACTCCAAAATGACACAATGCCATTCATTTCTATTGGGCACAGAAAATTCTGAAACAACCAAAACAAACAGCAAATGCATCCAACAAATTAGCAGAGTCACAAGCTTGATGTAGTCATTGCGTGCTAGGAATATGGGACCAAATACTCAACTTGACTAAATTTAATACACTAATTGAATTTGTCCAAATACTTTCAAAATGGAGGTGCTAGATACATAAAATGCTTTCATTTCTAAATGGTTAAACAGATATGTATGAAAACACCCTAAAATAAAAGGTGACATTATGTATTGTCGGATCATTTGATCTCAAAACATTTGATCTCCAATCCAAAATGCTGGAGTATACAGCCAAATTAAAAGTTTTAGCTTCCCTGCCCAAATAAATATGTAGGAGAGTAGTTGTTACGTGCCACTGAAACAGATACACTTACAATCAAAGTCACACATGAAAACATTGGGTGAGCTCGTTTTGCATGGCCCGGTCCCCCGGCTGTTGGCCGCGTGGGAGGAGTTAGTGCTCAACTTGCAATCTAGGTGCCCGACGGCAAAAGTCAAATGCCCTTGCTATTATACTGATGGTTTGTCTGGACTGATGGTTTCTACGATTGTGGCTAGATGGAGTACAGCTCTATCTAGTTGTCGCGTCGAGGACAACAGTTGTTGACAGCCGTTGCATTTTAGCTAAGCCTAACCCTTTTCCTAACCTTAACTTCATTCTCTTAAGCTGCTACGTTAATTCTCCTAACCTGCTAGTTACAGAAACTTCTCTCCGTAGATTAACTCCATCTAGCCCACCATTTCCCAATGGGGTTCGCGAGAGAAAGTCTGAAATTGTGCATATTTCATAGAAGCCACTAGTTGCAGTTGTAATAAACATAGCGGTTTCTGTTTTCTTCCTACAAATGTGGCTCCATCTTTAAGCTACCAAATTATATTTAACCCATCACTGAAAGATAAGACTCTCAGGAACACGTGTCTTCTGTTTCCCTCTACAATGCCCACAAGCCACGCAGGACTCATTAGAACAGAGTGCAAAAGACTAGGCGCTAACTAAATCAGACTGGGGGGAAAAGAACATCATCAATGATTATGTTCTTTTCTACACAGAATATCATTCTAAAAATTATTGCCTGATGATCTTCTAAACTTTCCAATACCTTTCTGATGCATTTCATTCACTTCAAACCATACTTCTTTCAGATTGAAATACTGTCAAAAGTGCTGTCAGACTAATTTGTAATAGACGGTCATAGACACAATTAAAAAAGTAAACGTTGGCCGTTTATTACATCACCTTTTTTTTTTTTACATGGCAGGGTCTCAAAAAGAATCTAAAAGGGGGTCGCGGGCCAAAAAAGTTTGGGAACTCCTGATCTATCCACAACCGTAGAAACTATTAGTCCCGACAAACCATCAGTATCACCACACCCTGCTCAAAATTGACGACTTGGCCCGCTATGAGAGGTGGAGTCAAAAACGAAACAACGAAGTGCACATGGTGGATACTAACTAACTTCTAATCATTATGACTGTAAGCCTGTAATGGCATGTTATATTATTATTATTATCATTGGTCAACAAACATTTCAACAACTATTTGCATCAGAGACAAATAGAATAATGTGATGGTGCCATCTGAGAAATGATTATTGCTTTTTTGATCTGTCAGACAATTGTTCTGTTGTGTTTTAGTTAGTGATGACATTCGCCGCCACAGCACTTGATTAAAAACTCCTCCCTTGCTGCTTATGTAGTTTGTTGTCCCCCGGCTGTGTAAAATGAGCTCCCCCGAATGTAACTTGCCCAATACTGGCACGTGATCTTAACTAGAGGCAGGAGATTGGGGAAATGCACAGTGTGCACAGAATTTCTATGATAAAAGACGCACACAGCCCCGAGAGGGGCTATAAGAAAGGCATTAGTTGTTTAAAAGAGAAAGAGCTTTGTGGCTACTTGAGGAAGGGACATGTTCTCTCCATCAGACGATCCCAGAATATCAATGGCCCCTTCCTCCTTTTTCAGCTCCTTTCATCCGCTGGTGACGGGGTCTGGGTCCATTAAGGCTGAAGGATGAAGGATGAAAGGACCAGTACTGTATGAATCGTGGTGTGCCTCAGGGATTAATACTGGGTCCTTTTTCCTGCGTCCTTCCTCGCAGGTGTGATACGGTCTCTTGTCCCAGACGGCCACTCAGATTTCTTTGAACCTGCCAACACAAGGTTAGATTAGCCTATTTCAGAATGGACCGAATGCAAACCTATTCCGGTCATTAACATAGGCACCAGATCATTGGATCTGATTAATTCAATGTAATTTCATATTTGAGGACTGGCGGTGAAGGAACCACCACAGAATCTTCAACTGAGTATACCCTCCAAAAGAATTTGCAAGTCAATATGGCCCCTAGCCTATTCACAATTTTGCTGGAGAGAGGCTAATGCTATCGAGTTAGTTTGGGAGGTGGAATAAATGGGGGGCAGCATAGAGCCATGAGGTGCACAATTGTTGTTGGGGATGGAGTCTTGCTTTATTTGAAAGCAGCATTATTTCACAGGATATGAGGGTTAGTTTGGGACTTGAAATAAAAGGGACAGCGTGAGAGTGGCCGGCGCCATGCACAGTTGTGGATAATGGGGTGGATACAGCTTCCTTTTACCTTCGACACCGTTTTGTAGCACAAAGAGACGGACACCTTGGCCTGTAGTGTAACTGCATTATGACAAAACCAGACATGTTACCAGGTGCATTGTGGGTAATGTAGTCCTACTATAGTTTCCAAAAAAGGCCCAGTGCAGTCAAAAACTAGATTTTTCTGTGTTTTATTTATAATTTCCACACTATGAGGATGGAATAATACTGTCAAATTGTGAAAATGATAAAGCCCTTTTAGTGAAAGAGTTGTTCGAAAACACAGTCTGAAATTTCAGCATGTTTTGGTGGGACCAATAAGAAAGCGTTCAAAACTCCATTAGCTAGTTCAGTGTCCCCTCCCCACTCCCAGACAGCCCTAGCAAAATTAGTGCTTGAGAAATTGCTCTTTGCTAAGAAGCGGTGTCTTTTTGACCATTTTAATTGAAAACAATCAAAGTCAGGTACTTAAATTGTTACCCAGAAATGATTTGATATTGTGATAAAACAGCCACATTGTAACAATGGCTCTTAAGCACAGTTGCCCAGCGTTAATATAGATCTGCATTAACATGGAAAGGTACTTGTAATCAAGAATCCGTTACTTGATGTTGTGCAAGAATAAAGAAGAGACGATTCTGCATAACATTTGATGTGAGTAAGACCTTTAAACAGCTTAACATTCACAAGGCTGCTGGGCCAGACGAATTACCAGGACGCATACTCAGAGCATGCGCTGACCAGATGGCAAGTGTCTTCAGTGACATTTTCAACCTCTCCCTGACACAGTCCGTAATACCTACCTGTTTCTAGCAGACCACCATTATCCCTGTGCCCAAGAACGCCATAGGTAACCTGTCTAAATGACTACTCACATCTGTAGCCATGAAATGCTTTGAAAGGCTGGTTATGGCTCACATCAACAACATCATCCCAGACACCGCCCCCAACAGATCCACAGATTATCTCTAATGCACTCCACACTGCCCTTTCACACCTGGACAAGAGGAACACCTATGTGAGAATGCTCTTCACTGACTAAAGCTCAGCGTTCAACACCATAGTGCCCTCCAAGCTCATCACTAAGCTAAGGACCCTGGTACTGAACACCTCCCTCTGCGACTGGATCCTGGACATCCTGAAGGGCCGCCCCCAGGTGGTGAGGGTAGGCAACAACATCACCGCCACGCTGACCCTCAACACGGGGGCCCCTCAGGGGTACGTGCTTAGTCACCTCCTGTACTTCCTGTTCACCCACAACTCCAACACCATCATTAAGTTTGCCGACAACATTATGGTGGTAGGCCTGATCACCGATGCCAATGAGACAGCCTGTAGGGAGGAGGTCAGAGACCTGGCAGTGTGGTACCAGGACAACAACCTTTCCCTCAACATCAGCAAGACAAAGGAGCTGATCGTGGACTACAGGAAACGGAGGGCCGAGCACACCCCCCATGCACATTGACGGGCTGTAGTGGAGCGGGTCGACAGCTTCAAGTTCTTCTGTGTCCACATTACTAAGGCTCTATCATGGTCAACACACTCCAACACAGTCGTGAAAAGGGTACAACAACACCTCTTCCCCTCAGGAGGCTGAAAAGATTTGGCATGGCCCTCAGATCCTCAAAAAGTTATACAGCTGCACCATTGAGAGCATCTTGACTGGCTGCATAACCGCTTGGTATGGCAACTGCTTGGCATCCAACGGCAAGGCGCTACAGAGGGCAGTGTGTACGGCCCAGTACATCACTGGGGCCGAGCTCCCTGCCATCCAGGACCTCTATAGCAGGCGGTGTCAGAGGAAGGCCCTAAACATTTTCAAAGGAAGGCCCTAAACCCAAATTATTGACTGTTCTCTCTGCACGGCAAGCGTAGTATGGAACCAACAGGACCCTTTTACCCCCAAGCCATAAGACTGCTAAATAGTTAGTTAAATAGTTAACGAAATAGCTACCCGGACTATCTGCATTGACCCTTTTTGCACAAACTTTTTTTTTACCCATCACATACACTGCTGCTACTGTTTATTATCTGTTACTTTATTCCAAGTTATATGTACATACTCAACTCAATTACTTCGTACCCCTGCACATTGACTCTGTACTGGTACCCCATGTATATAGCCAAGTTATCGTTACTCATTGTGTATTTATTATTACGTGTTTTTACTTTTCTATTATTTCTCTCTACATTGTTGGGAAGGGCACGTAAGTAAGCATTTGACTAATATATTAAAAAACATATGTAGATCATTTGATTTTATTTGATCCAGTGTCTAATAACCCCAACTCAAGACAATCATGTCTTAAATCCTATGGGAACCTGGTGGAAATATACAACTCTCAAGACGCAATCAAGGTCCCAGATTAATCGTAATTGACAACTTCTGATCTCTAAAAATAGCCTGAGGTGCAACTGCAAATTTTCACTTAAAGCTGGCCAATTAATCAGCAGCCTGGAGGCCACTTTGGAGTAGAATAATGAGCACCCTTAACCTCTAGGGAAAGGCTAATGTATAAAGCCCTGTGGAGTAGCTCTATTTTATATTTTATTTTTATTTAACCAGGTAAGCCAGTTGTGAACAAGTTCTCATTTACAACTGCGACCTGGCCAAGATAAAGCAAAGCAGTGCGATAAAAACAACAACACAGAGTTACATATGGGGTAAACAAAACAAAAAGTCAAAAATACAACAGAAAATATATATACAGTGTGTGTGAATGTAGTAAATTATGGAGGTAAGGCAATAAATAGGCCATAGTGCAAAATAGTAACAATTTCGTATTAACACTGGAATGATAGATGTGCAAAAGATGATGTGCAAATAGAGATACTGGGGTGCAAATTAGCTAAATAAATAACAATATGGGGATGAGGTAGTTGGGTGGGCTAATTTCAGAATGGCTATGTACAGGTGCAGTGATCGGTAAGCTGCTCTGACAACTGCTGCTTAAAGTTAGTGAGGTAGATAAGAGTCTCCAGCTTCAGAGATTTTTGCAGTTTGTTCCAGGAATGGCGGCCAAAGGTGTTGGCTTTGGGGATGACCAGTGAGATATACCTGCTGGAGCGCAGAGTACGGGTGGGTGTTGCTATGGTGACCAGTGAGCTAAGATAAGGCGGGGATTTGCCTAGCAGTGATTTATAGATGACCTGGAGCCAGTGGGTTTGGTGACGAATATGTAGTGAGGGCCAGGCAACAAGAGTGTACAGGTCAAAATGGTGAGTAGTATATGGGGCTTTGGTGACAAAACGGATGGCACTGTGATAGACTACATCCAGCTTTCTGAGTAGAGTGTTGGAGGCTATTTTGTAAATGACATCGCCGAAGTCAAGGATCAGTAGGATAGTCAGTTTTACGAGGGCATGTTTGGCAGCATGAGTGAAGGAGGCTTTGTTTGCGAACTAGATCTAACTTTTGATTGGAGATGCTTAATGTGAGTCTGGAAGGAGAGTTTACAGTCTAACCAGACACCTACAGTGGGGAGAACAAGTATTTGATACACTGCCGATTTTGCAGGTTTTCCTACTTACAAAGCATGTAGAGGTCTGTAATTTTTATCATAGGTACACTTCAACTGTGAGAGACAGAATCTAAAACAAAAATCCAGAAAGTCACATTGTATGATTTTTAAGTAATTAATTTGCATTTTATTGCATGACATAAGTATTTGATACATCAGAAAAGCAGAACTTAATATTTGGTACAGAAACCTTTGTTTGCAATTACAGAGATCATACGTTTCCTGTAGGTCTTGACCAGGTTTGCACACACTGCAGCAGGGATTTTGGCCCACTCCTCCATACAGACCTTCTCCAGATCCTTCAGGGTTCGGGGCTGTCGCTGGGCAATACGGACTTTCAGCTCCCTCCAAAGATTTTCTATTGGGTTCAGGTCTGGAGACTGGCTAGGCCACTCCAGGACCTTGAGATGCTTCTTACGGAGCCACTCCTTAGTTGCCCTGGCTGTGTGTTTCGGGTCGTTGTCATGCTGGAAGACCCAGCCACGACCCATCTTCAATGCTCTTACTGAGGGAAGGAGGTTGTTGGCCAAGATCTCGCGATACATGGCCCCATCCATCCTCCCCTCAATACGGTGCAGTCGTCCTGTCCCCTTTTCAGAAAAGCATCCCCAAAGAGTGATGTTTCCACCTCCATGCTTCACGGTTGGGATGGTGTTCTTGGGGTTGTACTCATCCTTCTCCTTCCTCCAAACACGGCGAGTGGAGTTTAGACCAAAAAGCTCTATTTTTGTCTCATCAGACCACATGACCTTCTCCCATGGTCATTGGCAAACTTCAGACGGGCCTGGATATGCGCTGGCTTGAGCAGGGGGACCTTGCGTGCGCTGCAGGATTTTAATCCATGACGGCGTAGTGTGTTACTAATGGTTTTCTTTGAGACTGTGGTCCCAGCTCTCTTCAGGTCATTGACCAGGTCCTGCCATGTAGTTCTGGGCTGATTCCTCACCTTCCTCATGATCATTGATGCCCCATGAGGTGAGATCTTGCATGGAGCCCCAGACCGAGGGTGATTGACCGTCATCTTGAACTTCTTCCATTTTCTAATAATTGCGCCAACAGTTGTTGCCTTCTCACCAAGCTGCTTGCCTATTGTCCTGTAGCCCATCCCAGCCTTGTGCAGGTCTACAATTTTATCCCTGATGTCCTTACACAGCTCTCTGGTCTTGGCCATTGTGGAGAGGTTGGAGTCTGTTTGATTGAGTGTGTGGAGAGGTGTCTTTTATACAGGTAACGAGTTCAAACAGGTGCAGTTAATACAGGTAATGAGTGGAGAACAGGAGGGCTTCTTAAAGAAAAACAAACAGGTCTGTGAGAGCCAGAATTCTTACTGGTTGGTAGGTGATCAAATACTTATGTCATGCAATAAAATGCAAATTAATTACTTAAAAATCATAAAATGTGATTTTCTGGAATTTTGTTTTAGATTCCGTCTCTCACAGTTGAAGTGTACCTATGATAAAAATTACAGACCTCTACATGCTTTGTAAGTAGGAAAACCTGCAAAATCGGCAGTGTATCAAATACTTGTTCTCCCCACTGTATGTATTTGTAGTCCACATACTCTAGGTCAGACCCGCCGAGAGTAGTGATTCTAGTCGGGTGGGCGGGTGCAAGCAGTGTTCGGTTGAAGAGCATGCATTTAGTTTTACTAGTGTTTAAGAGCAGTTGGAGGCTACGGAAGGAGTGTTGTATGGCGTTGAAGCTCATTTGGAGGTTTGTTAACACAGTGTCCAATGAAGGGCCAGATGTATACAAAATGGTGTCGTCCGCATAGAGGTGGATCCGAGCGTCACCAGTAGCAAGAGCGACATCATTGATATACACAGAGAATAGAGTCGGCCCGAGAATTGAACCCTGTGGCACCACCATAGCGACTGCCAGAGGTCCAGACAACAGGCCCTCCGATTTGACACATTGAACTCTATTTGTGGCTTTGACCTGTATTTAAAGGAATAGTCATTTTAGTCCACACTCAAGTTCAATTGCATTTTGCCCCTTTTAAGTGAAGTAGCCAGTATTTGTTCACTCCTTGGATAAAACAGGTATGATTTTATGACTAACATTAATTTGGGTTTCCTGAATGGTTATATGATTCCCAGTGGTGTAGTTGTGAGCGGCTCACCCTCTTTGTCTGGGGCTGTGTCCACACCAGCCCCTCACCTCCTTATACACCAGCCTGGACAGCAGCTGGAAAACAGGGAGACAGCACACTCAACATAGCTTACTAAAATAGATCTGTTTTTAAACATACAGTGCATTCAGAAAGTATTCAGATTCCTTGCCTTTTTCCACATTTTGCTACGTTACAGCCTTACTCTAAAATGGATTAAATTGTTGCAAATGTATAAAAAATATAAAACCGAAATACCTTATTTACATAAGTATTCAGACCCTTTGCCATGAGACTCAAAATTGAACTCAGGCGCATCCTGTTTATATTGATCATCCTTGAAATGTTTTTACAACTTGATTGGAGTCCACTTGTGGTAAATTAAATTGATTGGACATGATTTGGAAAGGCACACACCTGTCTATATAAGGTCCCACAGTTAACAGTGCATGTCAGAGCAAAAACCAAGCCATGAGGTCGAAGGAAATGTCCATAGAGCTCCGAGACTGTGTCAATCTGGGGAAGTACCAAAAAATGTCGGCAGCATTGAAGGTCCCCAAGAACACAGTGGCCTCCATCAATCTTACATAGAAGAAGTTTAGAACCACCAAGACTCTTCCTAGAGCTGGCCGCCCGGCCTTGGTCAGGGAGGTGACCAAGAACCCAAGGACTCTCAGACCATGACAAACAGGATTCTCTGGTCTGATGAAACCAACATTGAACTCTTTGGCCTGAATGTCAAGCATCACGTCTGGAGGAAACCTGGCACCATCCCTACGGTGAAGCATGGTGGTGGCAACATCATGCTGTGAGGATGTTTTTCAGCGGCAGGGACTGGGAGACTAGTTAGAATCGAGGGAAAGATGAACGGACCAAAGTACAGAGAGATCCTTGATGAAAACCTGCTCCAGGGAGCTCAGGGCCTCAGACTTGGGTGAAGGTTCACCTTCCAACAGGACAACGACCTTAAGCACACAGCCAAGACAATGCAGGAGTGGTTTCGGGACAAATATCTGAATGTCCATAAGTGGCCCAGCCAGAGCCCGGACTTGAACCCGATCAAACATCTCTGGAGAGACCTGAAAATAGCTGTGCAGCGACGCTCCCCATCCAACCTGACAGAGCTTGACAGGATCTGCAGAGAACAATGAGAGAAACTCCCCAAATACAGGTGTGCCAAGCTTGTAGCGTCATACCCAAGAAGACTCAAGGCTGTAATCGCTGCCAAAGATGCTTCAACAAAGTACTGAGTAAAGGGTCTGAATACTTATGTAAATGTGATATTTCCGGGGGGGTTTTTCAAAAATGTATAACAACCTGTTTTTGCTTTGTCATTATCGGGTATTGTGTGTACATTGATGAGGGGAAAAAACTATTTAATAAATTTTAAAATAAGGCTGTAAAATAACAAAATGTGGAAAAAGTCAAGCGGTCTGAATACTTTCCGAAAAATATATATTTTTCTATATATTTATAAACACAATTTAAAAACAGCCCCAGACCATTATTCCTCCACCGAAATTTACAGTTGGCACTATGCATTTGGGCAGGTAGCGTTCTCCTGGCATCTGCCAAACCCAGATTCGTCCGTCGGACTGCCAGATGGTGAAGCGTGATTCATCACTCCAGAGAATGCGTTTCCACTGTTCCAGAGCCCAATGGTAGCGAGCTTTACACCACTCCAACCGACGCTTGGCATTACACATGGTGATCTTAGGCTTGTGTGCGGCTGCTCGGCCATGGAAACCCATTTCATGAAGCTCCCGATGAACAGTTCTACGTTACTTCCAGAGGCAGTTTGGAATTCAGTAGAAGTGTTGCAACAGAGGACAGACGATTTTTACGCGCTATGCGCTTCAGCACTCGGCGGTCCCGTTCTGTGAGCTTGTGTGGTCTATCACTTCGCGGCTAAGCCGTTGTTGCTCCTAGACATTTCCACTTCACAATAACAGCACTTACAGTTGACCTGGACAGCTCTTGCAGGGCAGAAATTTGACGAAATGACTTGTTGGAAAGGTGGCATCCCATGACAGTACACCTTTTTATTGCAATCCTGGACAAGCACACCTGATTCAACTTGTCAACAAAACCTCAAATGAGTTGAATGAGGTGTGTTTGTCAAGGGCTACAACGAAACTGTGTACTGTTGGGGGTACTCAAACAAGGGTCGGGAAACACTGTCATATGGTATTAAGAGTATCATTCATTTTGTCCACAATCCACAGGTGTAGCACCCTCTTTGTACATGTGGCTAAAATATTGCAGTGATTTATAAAACATGTTAATAAAAACATAAAGACTAAAAACTAACCAAACAGGCGAGGATATCGGCAGTGATCAGCATGAAGAAGACATTGTTCCATCCCGTCGGAGAGATCAGCCCTGCTAACAGAGGACCTAGGGCGGCACCTAGAGGACAGTCAGAGAATAAGAGAAACACTTGCGCAGGGGAACCCAAGCACCTGAAACCAGGACTGGATATACAATTTGATTTGGGACAACAATAATAACAATTCTGCCTTTAGAACACAACATGATTTACAATGGAAAATAGTTTTGTATGAGCCATGGACCTTGTACATAAACTGTATACAATTAGTCATTGTCACATAACACTGCAATAACTGAGCATTGAAGTTAATCTCAAAACATAGGTGACCTAAAATAAAAACCTTCCTTCATGCATTGACACAGGCGCACACAAATGCATCATAGCATTTTAGTAATTTAGCAGACGCTCTTATCCAGAGCGACTTACAGTTAGTGAGTGCATACATTTTTATTTGTTATACTGGAATCGAACCCACAACCCTGGTGTTGCAAATGCCATGCTCTACCAACTGAGCTACATCCCTGCCGGCCATTCCCTACCCTGGACGACACTGGGCCAATTGTGCGCTGCCCCATGGGTCTCCCGGTCGCGGCCGGCTACGACAGAGCCTGGATTCGAACCAGGATCTCTAGTGGCACAGCTAGCACTGCGATGCAGTGCCTTAGACCACTGCGCCACTCGGGAGGACAATTACAAGCATCAAATAAAAAGAAAAAAGATCAAGAGTACCAATCCCCCGTGTGTCCCAGAAATTCCCCACATACCTATTGACCCCGTGCCGTCAATAATGGCAGTGACCGTTGACAAGGCTCTAGAGTTTCCTCTCAGGCTCTCATGCGTCCCCTATGAAAGGAAAAACCCTCATTATGAATCAACATTCAGTCCGTGACTGCATAAAAGACTTGGGCTCTTTCCAAATGTGTCTCTCCTCGATTCCTTGCATCCTCTCTCCTCACCTCCTCTCCTCAAAACACATGGAAGGTGAAGGTCTGACGGGAGGGACCTTGGATCTTCTTCTCCAATACGGTTTGAGAAAGAGGCGAGGGAGATAGAATGCGAGGAATCGAGGAAAGACGCATTAGACACAGTCTTGGACTAACAGGGGACCTGGGGAATTTGGGGTGAGGGGGCAATGCCGAGCTTATCTCCTCTGTGTGACTTTGGGAGAGCTGAGGACCTCATGTGAGAGTGGCATGCAGCAGTGCAGTCTGGGATGGATGAGCTTACCAGGTCAGCAGACACGGCGGTGGTGATGAGGGCGTAGGGGCCGTTCACCAGGGCTCCGCACACCAACAGCATCCCTACAGGGCAGAGGAACACAGCAACATGGGGATCAGGCATGTACAGGACGCTAGCTAGCAGATCAAGGCTATTTTTAAAGAAGCTTTTCATAGTGATATGTGGTTGTTATGTTGGTTGCCTACTTTAGTTGAATGTACCGAATGCAAGTCGCCCTAGATAAGAGTGTCTGCCAAATGACTAAGCGTAAATGTGAAATCCACAGGCTATAAACACACAACCGACACACAGTAAAGTACAATGTACAATGTGTTAAATTGGAGCATTTATGTTGTTTTCAGTAAGAGGGGTTGAGACCAAAATGGCTCTATGGCTTCAAAGTCAAATTTCATACAAAATAACTTAACTCTTACCGATTGTGGTTGCTAGGCTATGCTGTCCAATGTGGTTGTACAGGAACAACTAGGAAAGCAACAAAAACAAACATTTAGACTGGATCGTGGGTAAAATGTGGCACTCTTGAAGGATTTACTAATGATTTACTAACCCACATGCAGACCCAAAAGGAAAACATTGAGCTATGCTGAAAAACGGATTGACACACTACTGTCAAGGAGCTCACGACCTAACACAAAATGTTTCTTAGGCTTGGGCAGCGGGTGAAGTTCACTGCCAATTCCAGAGAGCTCCAAGCGCAGCCAAATTCCTTTTTCTGCGTCCATCATGCAGTCATATTTACATTGCATATATGTGATTAAGTGATCAAAACTTTGACAGAGAGAATTGCCCCTTTTCATAAGTGAATATAAAAGTGTCTTGTCCACATTTGTAATTCAGGCCTTTCCTTTCTTGATCTACAGTATATTTTGCCCAGCACCGGTTTTCTAAAGTTTGAAATGTGCAGATTACCCTTGAATGCCACATTTAGAATTTAAGGAGTCCTAAGTGTACTATAATAAAGTGACACTAAAAATGGCCATGGTGTTACACATGGTTTAAAGCCAGTGATGTCTTGTGTGAATGCACACTCACCATAGGGGCAGCCAGGATTAACATGACACAGCAAGTAGAGGCTCTGCCCCCAGTTTGGTCCGACACCAGTCCAGCCACGATGCCCCCTGCAGACAGACAACACACACTTAACACATACCCTTAACACATAGGGGAAGACAGCAGTCCTACATAATCTGAAAAAAATTAATCCATGGCATTTAGGGAACTACATTGAAGATCAATAATATGGGAAGTGCGCAGACACCATACAGTAGGAGCCATTAATTGACCAATTCTAATGAACTCTTCTGGCAGACTACTAGAGCAGTTACTTGTTATGACTATGGTCTGTATTGTGTTACAAAATGGGATTAAAATGGATTTCATTGTAAAAAATGTTTACAAAATTAAATAACTAAAATATAGTCATTGCATAAGTATTTAGCTCCCTGAGTCAATACATGTTAGAAACACCTTCGGCAGCGATTACAGCTGTGCGTCTTCTTGGGTAAGTCTCTAAGAGCTTTACACACCTGGATTGTGCAATATTAGCCCATTATTCTTTTCATAATTCTTCAAGCTCTGTCAAGATGTTGGGGATCATGTCTAGACAGCCATTTTTAAGTCTTGCCATAGATTTTCAAGCAGATTTAAGTCAAAACTGTAACTAGGCCACTCAGGAACATTCACGGTCTTCTTGGTAAGCAACTCAAGGGTATATTTGGCCTTGTGTTGCAGGTTATTGTCCTGCTGAAAGGTGAATTCCTCTCCCAATGTCTGGTGGAAAGCAGACTGAAGCTGGTTTTCCTCTAGGATTTTGCCTGTGCTTAGCTCCATCCCGTTTCTTTTAATCCTGAAAAACTCCCCAGTATTTGCCGAAGTCAAGCGTACCTATACCATGATGCAGCCAGCACCATGCTTGAAAATAAGGAGGCAGTTACTCAGTGATGTGTTGTGTTGGATTTGCCCCAAACATAAGGCTTTGCATTTAGGCTAAAAAGTGTATTGCTTTGCCGTGTTTTTTTGCAGTATTACTTTAGTGCCTTGTTGCATATTTTAGAATATTTTGTATTCGTTATATTTGTATTCTTCTTCTCACTCTGTCATTTAGGTCATTATTGTGGAGTCACTACAATGTTGATCCATCCTCAGTTCTCTCATCACAGCTATTGAACTGTAGCTCTTTTAAAATCACCAATGGCCTCATGGTAACATCCCTGAGCAGTTTCATTCCTGTCCTGCAGCTCAGTTTATTTCTATTTTCTATTTATTTAACCAGGTAAGCCAGTTGAGAACAAGTTCTCATTTACAACTGCGACCTGGCCAAGATAAAGCAAAGCATTGCGATACAAACAACAACAACACAGAGTTACACATGGGATAAAACAAAACATACAGTCAATAACACAATAGAAAATCTATATACAGTGTGTGCAAATGTAGTAAGTTATGGAGGTAAGGCAATAAATAGGCCATAGTGCAAAATAATTACAATTTAGTATTAACACTGGAGTGACAGATGTGGAGAAGAAGATGTGCAAATAGAGATACTGGGGTGCAAATGAGCAAAATAAATAACAATATGGGGATGAGGTAGTTGGGTGGGCTAATTTCATATGGGCTGTGTACAGGTGCAGTGATCGGTAAGCTGCTCTGACAACTGATGCTTAAAGTTAGTGAGGGAGATAAGTGTCTCCAGCTTCAGAGATTTTTGCAGTTCGTTCCAGTCATTAGCAGCAGAGAACTGGAAGGAATGGCGGCCAAAGGAGGTGTTGGCTTTGGGGATGACCAGTGAGATAGAGTCGTATGAAAAAGTTTGGGTACCCCTGACAATTTACAGGATTTCCATTTATAAATAATTGGGTGTTTGGATCAGCAATTTCATTTTGATCTATCTATGAATAACTGATGGAAACAGTAATATTTCAGTAGTGAAATTAGGTTTATTGGATTAACAGAAAATGTGCAATATGCATCAAAACGAAATTAGACAGGTGCATCAATTTGGGCACCCCGACAGAAAAATCACATCAATATTTAGTAGAGCCTCCATTTGCTAAAATAACAGCCTCTAGACGCTTCCTATAGCCTCTGATGAGTGTCTGGATTCTGGATGAAGGTATTTTGGACCATTCCTCCTTACAAAACATCTCCACTTCAGTTAGGTTTGATGGTTGCCGAGCATGGACAGCCCGCTTCAAATCATCCCACAGATTCTCAATGATATTCAGGTCTGGGGACTGGGATGGCCATTCCAGAACATTGTACTTGTTCCTTTGCATAAATGCCTGGGTAGATTTTGAGCAGTGTTTTGGGTCGTTGTCTTGTTGAAATATCCAGCCTCGGCGTAACTTCAACTTTGTGACTGATTCTTCAACATTATTCCAAAGAATCTGCTTATATTGAGTGGAATCCATGCGACCCTCAACTTTTAACAAGATTCCCAGTACCGGCACTGCCCACACAGCCCCACAGAATGATGGAACCCCCACCAAATTTTACTGTGGGTAGCAAGTGTTTTTCTTGGAACGCTGTGTTCTTTTGTCGCCATGCATAACGCCCCTTGTTATGACCAAATAACTCAATCTTTGTTTCATCAGTCCACAGCACCTTATTCCTAAATGAAGCTGGCTTGTCCAAATGTGCGTTTGCATACCTCAAGCGACTCCGTTTGTGGTATGTGTGCAGAGAAGGCTTCTTCTGCATCACTCTCCCGTACAGCTTCTCCTTGTGCAAAGTGCGCTGAATTGTTGAACGATGCACAGTGACACCATTTGCAGCAAGATGATGTTGTAGGTCTTTGGAGGTGGTCTGAGGGCTGTTTTTGACCATTCTCACCATCCTTCGCCTTTGCCTCTCCGATATTTTACTTTGCCTGCCACTTCTGGCCATAACAAGAACTGTGCCTGTGGTCTTCCTTTTCCTCACTATGTTCCTCACAGTGGACTCTGACAGCTTACATCTCTGCGATAGCTTTTTGTAGCCTTCCCCTAAACCATAATGTTGAACAATCTTTGTTTTCAGGTCATTTGAGAGTTGTTTTGAGGCCCCTATGTTGCCACTCTTCAGAGGAGAGTCAAAGAGAACAACAACTTGCAATTCGCCACCTTAAATACCTATTCTCATGATTGGATGCACTTGTCTATGAAGTTCAAGGCTTAATGAGCTCACCAAACCAATTGTGTGTTCCATTAATCAGTGCTAAGTAGTTACAGGTATTCAAATCAACAGAATGACAAGGGTGCCCAAATGTTTGCATAGCCTATTTTTCACATCTGATTTAATTTCATACAACTTAATATTGCTACACTAAAAATCTTTTTCTGGACAATACCCCAGTACTCAGCTTTTATTAGAAAATGAATGGCATGCCACTGTGATCATTTTCTGTGACGACAGAGTAAATTATTATGCAGCCTCAGAGGGGTGCACAAACTTTTTCATATGACTGTATACCTGCTGGAGCGCATACTACGGGTGGGTGTTGCTATGGTGACCAATGAGCTAAGATAAGGCGGGGATTTGCCTAGCAGTGATTTATAGATGACCTGGAGCCAGTGGGTTTGTCAACGAATATGTAGTGAGGGCCAGCCAACGAGAGCGTACAGGTCACAGTGGTGGGTAGTATATGGGGCTTTGGTGACAAAATGGATTGCACTGTGATATACAACATCCAATTTGCTGAGTAGAGTGTTGGAGGCTATTTCGTAAATGACATAGCCGAAGTCAAGGATCGGTAGGATAGTCAGTTTTACGAGGGCATGTTTGGCAGCATGAGTGAAGGAGGCTTTGTTGCGAAATAGGAAGCCGATTCTAGATTTAACTTTGGATTGGAGATGCTTAATGTGAGTCTGGAAGGACAGTTTACGGTCTAACCAGACACCTAGGTACAGTGGGGAGAACAAGTATTTGATACAGTGGGGAAAAAAAGTATTTAGTCAGCCACCAATTGTGCAAGTTCTCCCACTTAAAAAGATGAGAGAGGCCTGTAATTTTCATCATAGGTACACGTCAACTATGACAGACAAATTGAGGGAAAAAAGTCCAGAAAATCACATTGTAGGATTTTTAATGAATTTATTTGCAAATTATGGTGGAAAATAAGTATTTGGTCACCTACAAACAAGCAAGATTTCTGGCTCTCACAGACCTGTAACTTCTTTAAGAGGCTCCTCTGTCCTCCTCTCGTTACCTGTATTAATGGCACCTGTTTGAACTTGTTATCAGTATAAAAGACACCTGTCCACAACCTCAAACAGTCACACTCCAAACTCCACTATGGCCAAGACCAAAGAGCTGTCAAAGGACACCAGAAACAAAATTGTAGACCTGCACCAGGCTGGGAAGACTGAATCTGCAATAGGTAAGCAGCTTGGTTTGAAGAAATCAACTGTGGGAGCAATTATTAGGAAATGGAAGACATACAAGACCACTGATAATCTCCCTCGATCTGGGGCTCCACGCAAAATCTCACCCCGTGGGGTCAAAATGATCACAAGAACGGTGAGCAAAAATCCCAGAACCACACGGGGGGACCTAGTGAATGACCTGCAGAGAGCTGGGACCAAAGTAACAAAGCCTACCATCAGTAACACACTACGCCGCCAGGGACTCAAATCCTGCAGTGCCAGACGTGTCCCCCTGCTTAAGCCAGTACATGTCCAGGCCCGTCTGAAGTTTGCTAGAGTGCATTTGGATGATCCAGAAGAGGATTGGGAGAATGTCATATGGTCAGATGAAACCAAAATAGAACATTTTGGTAAAAACTCAACTCGTTGTGTTTGGAGGACAAAGAATGCAGAGTTGCATCCAAAGAACACCATACCTACTGTGAAGCATGGGGGTGGAAACATCATGCTTTGGGGCTGTTTTTCTGCAAAGGGACCAGGACGACTGATCCGTGTAAAGGAAAGAATGAATGGGGCCATGTATCGTGAGATTTTGAGTGAAAACCTCCTTCCATCAGCAAGGGCATTGAAGATGAAACGTGGCTGGGTCTTTCAGCATGACAATGATCCCAAACACACCGCCCGGGCAACGAAGGAGTGGCTTCGTAAGAAGCATTTCAAGGTCCTGGAGTGGCCTAGCCAGTCTCCAGATCTCAACCCCATAGAAAATCTTTGGAGGGAGTTGAAAGTCCGTGTTGCCCAGCAACAGCCCCAAAACATCACTGCTCTAGAGGAGATCTGCATGGAGGAATGGGCCAAAATACCAGCAACAGTGTGTGAAAACCTTGTGAAGACTTACAGAAAACGTTTGACCTGTGTCATTGCCAACAAAGGGTATATAACAAAGTATTGAGAAACTTTTGTCATTGACCAAATACTTATTTTCCACCATAATTTGCAAATAAATTCATTAAAAATCCTACAATGTGATTTTCTGGAGTTTTTTTTCTCATTTTGTCTGTTATAGTTGACGTGTACCTATGATGAAAATTACAGGCCTCTCTCATCTTTTTAAGTGGGAGAACTTGCACAATTGGTGGCTGACTAAATACTTTTTTCCCCCCACTGTACACTGCCGATTTTGCAGGTTTTCCTACTTACAAAGCATGTAGAGGTCTGTAATTTTTATCATAGGTACACTTCAACTGTGAGAGACGGAATCTAAAACAAAAATCCAGAAAATCACATTGTATGATTTTTAAGTAATTCATTTGCATTTTATTGCATGACATACGTATTTGATCACCTACCAACCAGTAAGAATTCCGGCTCTCACAGACCTGTTAGTTTTTCTTTAAGAAGCCCTCCTGTTCTCCACTCATTACCTGTATTAACTGCACCTGTTTGAACTTGTTACCTGTATAAAAGACACCTCTCCACACACTCAATCAAATAGACTCCAACCTCTCCACAATGGCCAAGACCAGAGAGCTGTGTAAGGACATCAGGGATAAAATTGTAGACCTGCACAAGGCTGGGATGGGCTACAGGACAATAGGCAAGCAGCTTGGTGAAAAGGCAACAACTGTTGGCGCAATTATCAGAAAATGGAAGAAGTTCAAGATGACGGTCAATCACGCTCGGTCTGGGGCTCCAAGCAAGATCTCACCTCGTGTGGCATCAATGATCATGAGGAAGGTGAGGGATCAGCCCAGAACTACACGGCAGGACCTGGTCAATGACCTGAAGAGAGCTGGGACCACAGTCTCAAAGAAAACCATTAGTAACACACTACGCCGTCATGGATTAAAATCCTGCAGCGCACGCAAGGTCCCCCTGCTCAAGCCAGCGCATGTCCAGGCCCGTCTGAAGTTTGCCAATGACCATCTGGATGATCCAGAGGAGGAATGGGAGAAGGTCATGTGGTCTGATGAGACAAAAATAGAGCTTTTTGGTCTAAACTCCACTCGCCGTGTTTGGAGGAAGAAGGATGAGTACAACCCCAAGAACACCTCCCAACCGTGAAGCATGGAGGTGGAAACATCATTCTTTGGGGATGCTTTTCTGCAAAGGGGACAGGACGACTGCACCGTATTGAGGGGAGGATGGATGGGGCCATGTATCGCGAGATCTTGGCCAACAACCTCCTTCCCTCAGTAAGACATTGAAGATGGGTCGTGGCTGGGTCTTCCAGCATGACAACGACCCGAAACACACAGCCAGGGCAACTAAGGAGTGGCTCCGTAAGAAGCATCTCAAGGTCCTGGAGTGGCCTAGCCAGTCTCCAGACCTGAACCCAATAGAAAATCTTTAGAGGGAGCTGAAAGTCCGTATTGCCAAGCGACAGCCCCCGAAACCTGAAGGATCTGGAGAAGGTCTGTATGGAGGAGTGGGCCAAAATCCCTGCTGCAGTGTGTGCAAACCTGGTCAAGACCTTCAGGAAACGTATGATCTCTGTAATTGGGGCAGAGGTGGTGGCCGGGGTAGGGGTAGCCAGGTGGAAAGCATTGCCAGCCGTAGCAAAATGCTTATTGAAATTCTCGATTATCGTAGATTTATCGGTGGTGACAGTGTTTCCTAGCCTCAGTGCAGTGGGCAGCTGGGAGGAGGTGCTAAAACTTTTTGGAGTTAGTGCTACAGGATGCACATTTCTGTTTGAAAAAGCTAGCCTTTGCTTTCCTAACTGATTGTGTATATTGGTTCCTGACTTCCCTGAAAAGTTGCATATCGCGGGGGCTGTTCGATGCTAATGCAGTACGCCACAGGATGTTTTTGTGCTGGTCAAGGGCAGTCAAGTCTGGGGTGAACCAGGGGCTATATCTGTTCTTAGTTAGAATGGGGCATGCTTATTTAAGATGGAGAGGAAAGCACTTTTAAAGAACAACCAGGCATCCTCTACTGACGGAATGAGGTCAATAACCATCCAGGATACCCGGGCCAGGTCAATTAGAAAGGCCTGCTTGCTTAAGTGTTTTAGGGAGCGTTTGACAGTGATGAGGGGTGGTCGTTTGACCGCGGACCCATTACGGACGCAGGCAATGAGGCAGTGATCGCTGAGATCCTGGTTGAAGACAGCAGAGCTGTATTTAGAGGGTAAGTTAGTCAGGATGATATCTATGAGGGTGCCCATGTTTACCAGGTTGTACCTGGTAGGTTCCTTGATAATTTGTGTGAGAGGGCATCTAGTTTAGATTGTAGGACGGCCGGGGTGTTAAGCATATTCCAGTTTAGGTAACCAAGCAGTACGAACTCTGAGGATAGATGGGGGGCAATCAATTCACATATGGTGTCCAGGGCACAGCTGGGGGCTGAGGGGGGTCTGTAGCAAGCGGCAACAGTGATAGACTTATTTCTGGAGAGGTGGATTTTTAGAAGTAGAAGCTCAAACTGTTTGGGCACAGACCAGGCTAACTCCACCCCCTTTGGCAGTTCTATCTAGACGGAAAATGTTGTAGTTGGGGATGGACATTTCAGAGTTTTTGGTGGTCTTCCTAAGCCAGGATTCAGTTTAGAAGGACGACTGTATCTTTGATGTGTCTGGGTGGTTTAATAGATAATCCACAGCATAATTATTAACTTGACCATGCTTAAAGATATATTGAATGTCTGATTTGTTATTGTTGCCCATCTACCAATCACTGCCCTTCTTTATGAGGCTTTAGAAAAGCTCCCTGCTCTTTGTACAGAAACCACATATGTATATTACTTGGTGATTCATAATGAATACAGAAACCACTCGTTATTTCTACAATTTGTTATGACTACAGTGTAGACAAAACATCCAGGTCAATCAGAGAAGAGCTTCCTGGTTCCTCATATGATCTTACAGATTATTGGGCTATAGAGGTTAGATAATGCCATATAAAGTCAGCAACAAAACTGTTAAGGCTTACCAACAATTCCTCCTACATCAAATAGTGTTGACATGTCCCCAGCTTCCTTGGGGTCAAAATGGGCTGAGGAAATAAACATTGGGAATTTTAAGTGACACAGTACGCCAAATTAACTTACAGCGCATCTCACAATGCAAAGCAAATCATTATCAGCTTATTAACATTGTTAGCATTTGAACCCTCAGGTGAAATGACACGGGGCGGCAGATAGCTTAGTGGTTAAGAGCGTTGTGCCAGTAACCGAAAGGTCGCTGGTTCTAATCCCCGAGCCGACTAGGTGAAAAATCTGTCGATGTGCCCTTGACCAAGGCACTTAACCCTAATTGCTCCTGTAAGTCGCTCTGGATAAGAGCGTCTGCTAAATGAATAAAATGTAAATGTAAACTGTAAACAAATAGGAGCTAAACTGAGCACGTACCAACATTAGCAATGTAGAGAGGAAGCCAGTAGAGGAAGGTGTAGCTAACCAGCTTAGCGAACAGCAGACAGAGGGAGAACTCCATCACGCCCTGTAAGAGAACAACACACATATTACAGTCATAGCAACTGTCATAACAACAGTGTGGGTCTGGAGAGTAATTACCAACAATGAGTCACAACACAGAGGTGAAACAGGAATTCAAGGCTTGACATAAAATACATCCCATTATTAAGTTGATTGCCTGTGTCTGTTTTGCCAGAGGAATACTTGCGTAACATTTGATGAGATTCAGCGACTGAAACGGCTTGAAATGAAAGTAGATAGTGATCCCCACTCACAGGTATCCTGAGGGCCCCACAGAAGCTGATGGCCTTGGTGTGCTCCTCTGCCGGCTCAGAGGAGATAGAGTTGGACTGACCAGGACTGCTGAAGATCTCCTCATTACTGGATGAGTTCTTTAAGTGAACAGCAATTAGCAGTGTTCTAACCAGGGCTGCAACTATTGACTGTTTTAAGGTTGAGTATATTCTGTCTAACATTTCTTCTATTACTCTATAATATCAAGTATTTCGAAGGAAAGGAAAATAATGTAATCACAAAATGGTGGTCATCACAAAAAAATTGTCAAAATCTGGGCGTGGCTGGTAGCCTAGAGGTTAGTGAAGCGGGCCATGCATCATATCTCAGGTGCCACCTACACCAACTGGCCTTGTGGCCTTTAGCAAGGCAGCCCTTCTCTATACTACTAAGGACACCAATTACTTAATGTGTTCTTTGGTTGTACTTACATGGTGCTGCGGAGGGCTGCAGCCGACATCTTCTGGTTCTGTGACAGAAGAAATATTTTGCTCACAAATATTTTCATGTCAAAATACAGTCTTGGGACAAGCCAACTCTCATTTTACATTTTGTCTAAACGTGAACAGTCTAGGTTTAAGATGAAATGCCTGCAGTGAAAACTCTGATAAATGCTGCCTGAGAATGCAACATGATCCTTTTTCAAACTAGCTTAATAAAAACGTATCATCCATAATAACCTTATAGTGGCAATGAACATTTCATTTTGACTATGATCTATCAAGCTTCAATAGGTTGTAATGGATTTCACAGTCAGCACTATGGACATGTTGAGGCGTGTTTTGAAGGAGGTCTGGGCATATCCATAAAGCGTCTCAAAGTAGGAACTCTGATCTAGGATCAAGCCCCCTCTGTCCATTCATTATAATATAAAAGGCAAAACTGATTCTAGATCAGCAATCCTACTCTGAGACGCTATATGAATACGGGCCAAGAGGTCAGAGGTCACACTCACTCTCCACCAGGAAGAAGAAGCAGAGAACGCCCGTGGAGGCGATGATGATACCAGGCACGATGAAGGACATGCCCCAGGCCGAGGATACAAAGACGCCAGCGATGAGCGAGCCCAGGATGTTGCCTACCGAGGTGTGGGAGTTCCAGACACCCATGATGAACCCTCGTCTGGAGGGAGAGGGACAGACACACACAGATAGGATGGAAATGAGAGAGGTGGATTTACCTTGAGATACATTGTATAGCTTGACAGTGAACAGTGAGACAGTGAGACTGCTTCCTAAATACTGAGGACAGCTTTTGGCATTCAAATGCTGAATTTGGAACTGGATGCCTGTAAATTGTTCCTATTTTGAATGTCCAAAAACTCATTACACTCAAACCTGTTCAACCAAAGGCGCCGATCGGAGAGTTTCGTATTCACTTTCACATCATGTGACTGACCTTGAGCAACAGTAAAAACCCTGCACTAGATGGAAAAGAGGGTACTGATACTGTGTAGTCAGCATTGCTGAACCGGTCTACAGTAAGGATATGTATCACTCACTTCCCCTTTCCGAACCAGTTCCCAACGCAGGCCACCACTGCAGGCCAGCCCGTCGTCTGCACCAGTCCATTCATTGCCTAGGGAAGTAAGAGAGGGAGATTTAGGATTTTAAATGCTTTTTATTTCAACATTAAATATGTCCCTACACACGACCCCATGAGAGAAAAAGAGAGGGAGATCGAGATACTTTTTGTATCCCCACGAGAAAGAGATAAAGAAAAAGAAAGAGATACAAAGACAGAGAAAAAGAGAGAAGGGGGTGGGCCGGTTACCCACATCATTACATTTTCACACAGCCTTGAGAAAAGCACTGGCATGGAAACACACTCTCAGCCTCCCTCACATTATCACTGTCATATGATACTGAAACAGAGAGGGGCTACCTGGACTTGTGCATAAAGAAACGCTCATTTTTTGTTTTCCGTTACGTACACTTATGAACATGCCCCAGGTCGGGCCTGAATTCAAAGGTAACTATGAAATACTTGCTACAAAAAGAATGCACAATATATGGGGCATTGAACAGTCAGCCTTGTGCAGGAAACAGAATCAATAGAACCTATTTTCTGGTATTGTCCATCGGTGCCGCGCTTTTGAAGTCAGGTCCAGGAATGGTTGTTACAGTGAGGGAAAAAAGTATTTGATCCCCTGCTGATTTTGTACGTTTGCCCACTGACAAATAAATGATCAGTCTATAATTTTAATGGTAGGTTTATTTGAACAGTGAGAGACAGAATAACAACAACAAAAATCCAGAAAAACGCATGTCATTAATGTTATAAATTGATTTGCATTTTAATGAGGGAAATAAGTATTTGACCCCCTCTCAATCAGAAAGACTTCTGGCTCCCAGGTGTCTTTTATACAGGTAACGAGCTGCGATTAGGAGCACACTCTTAAAGGGAGTGCTCCTAATCTCAGCTTGTTACCTGTATAAAAAGACACCTGTCCAAAGAAGCAATCAATCAAATCAAATCAAATTGTATTGGTCACATGCGCCGAATACAACAGGTGCAGACATTACAGTGAAATGCTTACTTACAGCCCTTAACCAACAGTGCATTTATTTTTAACAAAAAAAGTAAAAATAAAACAACAACAAAAAAAGTGTTGAGAAAAAAAAGAGCAGAAATAAAATAAAATAACAGTAGGGAGGCTATATATACAGGGGGGTACCGTTGCAGAGTCAATGTGCGGGGGCACCGGCTAGTTGAGGTAGTTGAGGTAATATGTACATGTGGGTAGAGTTCAAGTGACTATGCATAAATAATTAACAGAGTAGCAGCAGCGTAAAAAGGATGGGGTGGGGGGGCAGTGCAAATAGTCCGGGTAGCCATGATTAGCTGTTCAGGAGTCTTATGGCTTGGGGGTAGAAGCTGTTGAGAAGTCTTTTGGACCTTGACTTGGCACTCCGGTACCGCTTGCCGTGCGGTAGCAGAGAGAACAGTCTATGACTAGGGTGGCTGGAGTCTTTGACAATTTTGAGGGCCTTCCTCTGACACCGCCTGGTATAGAGGTCCTGGATGGCAGGAAGCTTGGCCCCAGTGATGTACTGGGCCGTACGCACTAACCTCTGTAGTGCCTTGCGGTCGGAGGCCAAGCAGTTGCCATACCAGGCGGTGATGCAACCAGTCAGGATGCTCTCGATGGTGCAGCTGTATAATTTTTTGAGGATCTGAGGACCCATGCCAAATCATTTCAGTCTCCTGAGGGGGAATAGGCTTTGTCGTGCCCTCTTCACGACTGTCTTGGTGTGTTTGGACCATGATAGTTCGTTGGTGATGTGGACACCAAGGAACTTGAAGCTCTCAACCTGTTCCACTACAGCCCCGTCGATGAGAATGGGGGCGTGCTCAGTCCTCTTTTTTTTTTCCTGTAGTCCACAATCATCTCCTTTGTCTTGGTCACGTTGAGGGAGAGGTTGTTGTCCTGGCACCACACGGCCAGGTCTCTCAACCTCCTCCCTATAGGCTGTCTCATCATTGTCGGTGATCAGGCCTACCACTGTTGTGTCGTCGGCAAACTTAATGATGGTGTTGGAGTCGTGCCTGGCCATGCAGTCATGGGTGAACAGAGAGTACAGGAGGGGACTGAGCACGCACCCCTGAGGGGCCCCCGTGTTGAGGATCAGTGTGGCAGATGTGTTGTTACCTACCCTTACCACCTGGGGGCGGCCCGTCAGGAAGTCCAGGATCCAGTTGCAGAGGGAGGTGTTTAGTCCCAGGATCCTTAGCTTAGTGATGAGCTTAGAGGGCACTATGGTGTTGAATGCTGAGCTGTAGTCAATGAATAGCATTCTCACGTAGGTGTTCCTCTTGTCCAGGTGGGAAAGGGCAGTGTGGAGTGCAATAGAGATTGCATCATCTGTGGATCTGTTGGGGCGGTATACAAATTGGAGTGGGTCTAGGGTTTCTGGGATAATGCTGTTGATGTGAGCCATGACAAACCTTTCAAAGCACTTCATGGCTACAGACGTCAGTGCTACGGGTCGGTAGTCATTTAGGCAGGTTATCTTAGAGTCCTTGGGCACGGGGACTATGGTGGTCTGCTTGAAACATGTTGGTATTACAGACTCAGTCAGGGACATGTTGAAAATGTCAGTGAAGACACTTGCCAGTTGGTCAGCACATGCTCGGAGTACAATCAATCAGATTCCAAACTCTCCACCATGGCCAAGACCAAAGAGCTCTCCAAGGATGTCAGGGACAAGATTGTAGACCTACACAAGGCTGGAATGGGCTACAAGACCATCACCAAGCAGCTTGGTGAGAAGGTGACAACAGTTGATGCGATTATTCGCAAATGGAAGAAACACAAAACAACTGTCAATCTCCCTCGGCCTTGGGCTCCATGCAAGATCTCACCTTGTGGAGTTGCAATGATCATGAGAACGGTGAGGAATCAGCCCAGAACTACACGGGAGGATCTTGTCAATGATCTCAAGGCAGCTGGGACCATAGTCACCAAGAAAACAATTGGTAACACACTACACCGTGAAGGACTGAAATCCTGCAGCGCCTGCAAGGTCCCCCTGCTCAAGAAAGCACATATACAGGCCCATCTGAAGTTTGCCAATGAACATCTGAATGATTCAGAGGAGAACTGGGTGAAAGTGTTGTGGTCAGATGAGACCAAAATCGAGCTCTTTGGCATCAACTCAACTCGCCATTTTTGGAGGAGGAGGAATGCTGCCTATGACCCCAAGAACACCATCCCCACCGTCAAACATGGAGGTGGAAACATTATGCTTTGGGGGTGTTTTTCTGCTAAGGGGACAGGACAACTTCACCGCATCAAAGGGACGATGGACGGGGCCATGTACCGTCAAATCTTGGTTGAGAACCTCCTTCCCTCAGCCAGGGCATTGAAAATGGGTCGTGGATGGGTATTCCAGCTTGACAATGACCCAAAACACACGGCCAAGGCAACAAAGGAGTGGCTCAAAAAGAAGCACATTAAGGTCCTGGAATCTGGAGTCTGGAGTCTCCAGACCTTAATCCCATAGAAAATCTGTGGAGGGAGCTGAAGGTTCGAGTTGACAAACGTCAGGCTCGAAACCTTAATGACTTGGAGAAGATCTGCAAAGAGGAGTGGGACAAAATCCCTCCTGAGATGTGTGCAAACATGGTGACCAACTACAAGAAACATCTGACCTCTGTGATTGCCAACAAGGGTTTTGCCACCAAGTACTAAGTCATGTTTTGCAGAGGGGTCAAATACTTATTTCCCTCATTAAAATGCAAATCAATTTATAACATTTTTGACATGCGTTTTTCTGGATTTTTTTGTTGTTATTCTGTCTCCCACTGTTCAAATAAACCTACCATTAAAATGATAGACTGATCATGTCTTTGTCAGTGGGCAAACGTACAAAATCAGCAGGGGATCAAATACTTTTTTCCCCTCACTGTATGTCATAATATCAGGGTTCAGATGGACCTGCAAACGGTATTGTTAGGTGATCTGAAAAACCACGATCAGTCAATGGGAAATATCATTATACTCTTGGGTAAAGTATTTATTTTTAGGGCAATATCGGTAGAAATGTTATAAATAAGGAAGTTCAGGACCCTCATAAGACATCATAGTAAAATGGAGGGATGTATATTACTTCCCTGGGAAAGATGGGTTCATCTTTGGATATCGGGGGGTTGGAGTTAAGATCAGAATGAATAGTGGATTGGCCACAAAGGGTGAAAATCCAGCACTTGAAGAAAGAGTAAATTAGGAATATATGTATTATTTAACTACAGGTACCGTAGATGTGAGCGAATATAGCTGTAAGTAGCAGTAATAATAATAATAATATAATATGCCATTTAGCAGACGCTTTTATCCAAAGCGACTTACAGTCATGCGTGCATACATTTTTGTGTATGGGTGGTCCCGGGGATCGAACCCACTACCTTGGCGTTACAAGCGCCGTGCTCTACCAGCTGAGCTACAGAGGACCACAGTAGAAGTATTGTTGTCTGTTAGTTTACTCCAATCAGGGTAGGGATGGTAGGGTATGGCGAAAAAAAAAATAGATACAAAAATGTTTAAATGGTAACTCTGCTGCAAAGTGTGAGCAAGTGACTGAATGGTTTTGGAGGAGATTTAACCTGTACCTGGACAAAGGCGTAGTACCATATCGAGTGGATGTTCCAGTAGAAGCCGAGGCCAAACAGACACGTGAAGAGACCACTGAGAAGCATCCCGATGGTCAGGTAGTAGCGCAGGGGCACGCGCTCTCCAAATATCCCACTGTCAAACCACACAACACATAATGTGGTCAACTCCTTGTAGTGAGTTTTAACACACATGCAAGCACACACACAAAACATAAAACAAATAATTGACATCATTCTGCCTACCTGAAAAACATGCCAATGGCATAAGCAACCAGGAAGGAGTTGTCGACGGCTCCAAACAGTGTCTGGTAGTTCTCCTGGTCTGGACAGAACAAGATGACACAGAAAATATCCAAATGAAATCTGCTGTCCCATTCTACTGACATGGTATGCTTTCAATATATTAGTTTTGGAAGCACTCAAACACTTTGGAAGAATTTCTATTCCTTCTTAAAATTAACAATGAACTCGAATCAAGCAGAGGACTCACCAAAGGGTGCCCAGTCACACCAGGTTTCATTGTCAGTTCCATTGAGGTTTGGCGGCCGAATGAGGCTGGAACAATTTCTGTGCAGCTGACTCTGTACATGCATGGGGCAATAACCAGAGATTACACACATGGAAACAAAACACTCAGCCTTCAAGACAACCTGCATAAAGACGGCAAATAACTAAACGTCTCGAAAGAAAAACAGCAACTATGAAATCACTTTCTCACAAACTATACTGAACAAAAACATAAATGCAACAATTTCAAAGATTTGACTGATTTACAGTTCATATAAGGAAATCAGTCATTTGAAATAAATAAATTAGGCCCAAATCTATGGATTTCACATGACTGGGCATAGGCCCACCCACTTGGGAGACTGGCCCACCCACTTGGGAGCCAGGCCCAGCCAGTCAGAATACGTTTTTTCCCCTCAAAAGGGCAGACAGAAATACTCCTAGGTTTCATCAGCTGTCCGGGTGGCTGGTCTCAGACTATCCCACAGGTGAAGAAGCCGGATGCGGAGGTCCTGGGCTGGCATGGTTAAACGTGGTCTGCGGTTGTGAGGCCGGTTGGATGTACTGACAAATTCTCTAAAACAACGTTGGAGGCGGCTTATGGTAGAGAAATTAATATTACATTTTCTGGCAACAGCTCTGGTGGACATTCCTGCAGTCTGCATGCTCCCTCAAAACTTGAAACATCTGTGGCATTGTGTTGTGTGGCAAAACTGCACATTTTAGAGTGGCCTTTTATTGACCCCAGCACAAGGTGCACCTGTGTAATGATCATGCTGTTTAATCAGCTTCTTGATATGCCACACCTGTCAGGTGGATGGATTATCTTGGCAAAGGAGAAATGCTCACTAACAGGGATGTAAACAAATTTGTGCTCAACATTTTAAGAGAAATAAGCTTTTTGTGCATCTGGAACATTTCTGGGATCTTTTATTTCAGCTCATGAAACATGGTACCAACACTTTACATGTTGCTTTTATATTTTTGTTCAGTATATATTGCTAATTATTGTAGTGCGGCTCAAGTGGTCTAGGGCGTTTGTGGCCTAGAACACCTAGAGATGTTACAATATAAAGCTGAACAGTGTGGCCTTAAATTACAATAATGTTTAATACAGGTTTATGGAGTCAGTGTATTACCTTGACGATGCTGATGGGTTTCCGGGAGAGATGGTAGCTGGTATAGAAGAGGAAGGTGAGGAAGAGGGTGAAACCTCGGTACCTGGACAGAGAGAGTAGAAGAGCTCATTCTAATGTTATCCAAAGCAAATACCATGCCATGAACTTCGTCCTCTTTGTAAGTCAAAGCACACCCTCTCCAGTTTTTAGGACAGTCTCTTTCACATGGTCTAGACTAGAGGTCTCCAGGGCTTGGGTATTATGGGATGTTAGTATCATAGGACCAGGAGGGAGGGAGGGAGAGGGGAGAGAGATAGAGAGGCAGGCTTCAAACTACCATCCTGGAGAGGGTTCTGAGGAGAACACAAAACCATCACTCACATGGGCTCACATGGCCTTGTCTGTACAGTACACATAAGCTTGTTTTTTTTTGTGGGAACCTGACATGGAAACAAAACAGGGTATTCAGAAGAGTTCTTCAGTGCTGGGAGCAGTACAGGGACCTAGCTACCTCATAACACTAGGTGCACACTGCACATGAAGGCAGCTAGTTACAACCCACACACAGTGCACACTCTGTATTGACTTTACATTTCCTGGAGTGGAAAGGCAGGTTTTACCACAGTTAGATTCAGTTAACGCCTCACTTAGAACCTGGTGTAACCTCCTCATCCTCAGGCTAACTGCACACAACACATAGGATGCGTCCTTGACCAGAGAGTTATTCGTTAAAAGTGGTACACTACATAGGGAATAGGGTGCCATTTCGGACACAGCCATTCGGGAGGAAGTGTAGTGCCTGAGACTAAACCTGCTGTGACCTTTAAACCTTTGAGCATACTGTATCAGTGACAGCAATAATGCAGAACGCTTTGTTGATTGCATAATTGTTATAGAAATCCAACAGCCTTCCAAATCCAACAGCCTTCACCTAGGATGTTTGCATGTAAAATGCTTGTCAGTCTGATTGCCTATGCTTCTTTTTGCAAAATACATCTTTGAATATGGGGTTTAACTATACCTAATGAAACACTCAAATTAAATCTAGACGTGACTAATTCCTAACATTCTACCCATCTTAGAATGTCAGTAATGCATAGATAGAATGACACCAAATCTCTCGCCAATCATTGACGTCTAGCTGATTAGGGACAAAACCGCCGTTTCCCCTCCCCCATCATCAACGTACATACTGTATAATGCAATACATTTAGTTTTGTTTACATAAAGGGTGTCACAATATAATTCAAAGATAGTGTCAACTTACCAGCTCTCTCTTGAGAAGGACGTGATAAGTCTAATGCCGGGAGCCAAAGAAGACCTCATCTTTGGTGGAGTAGCCTAGATAACTTCGTAAAACGTGTTAAAACCGCTTACAATTTTCTCTCAGACATGGCTTCAAAAGTTATATCGTGCGCCTTCTATACATCCAATTGATGATTTATTCTCTGTACAAAAACTAGGACTACAAAAAATCTCTAAAACTAGCTAAAAACAAACTTAAACGATAACGTTACATGGGACAGCTTCTTTTCTCACATGTTCTAGCTTGATATTTTTTCCTCTTTGATTAAAAACACACCGATTTTTATTTGTATTTATTTAAATGTATTAATTTAAAATATAAAGAATAAAAACACTCCGAGCACTGATCAAAAAAGTTTCAGTCGTTTGGCTATTCCTACTTCATGATGATGGGGGTGAATCTCCGCAAACAATGAATTCTCATCGATTTCCATACTTGCTCGAGTCCGCTGATAGCGTTATAAAAGCCGGTTCTTATAAATACTCTATGCACTTCTCTACCGTGTCACATGGAAATGTGTACATATGTTAACAGATTGTGTCCATAATAGTTTGAAGGCAGTCCTTCCCTAATGTTTTCCAAGCTCAGGCCAGACGCCGCACCAAAAATCTATATTCCGAAGTGTGTAGACATGTGATTCCCGTGTCTGACGTCACGGCATTAAAGGAGTGACAACTGAATGGGCGAGTTCGTTTTACATGGCCCGGTGCTATGGGGGAACGGAGTTTGTACATTTCAGACCGTTCTATTGTACCTGAAATCAGTGGCGGCTCCTGAAAAAATTCTCAGGGGGGGCAATTTTTCTGATGATTTAGGTGACCTACACACATTTAAAAAAAGATATGTCCAGCAACAACATGAAGACAGGGGCAGCATATAAGTCAATACCAGAAGCATTTATTGACTGATCTCAAAAGTGTTGGCTTACCAGGGTTGGTGGAGCCCTCAGTTTCATCTTTGCCTCGCAAAGCTAACTCAAACACTCCGCAAAACTTCACACACTGGATTAGCCGGCTGAGGATGTGGCGGTTCTTGCTAATGTCGTAGTAAATATATTTGTTATAGTGAATATGGAATATGATATGTTGAGTAAAATGTTGTGCTAAGATCTATTTAGGTCAGGAGCTGGTTATAAGTTCTGTTCCTATCCAATAACAATGGACAAAAGGGTCCTATCTTGTCAGCCTTGTCAGCAGGTGGCCAAGGACAACACCCACGCCATAGGCCTCTCAGTTCTTCCAACTCACGAGTTCTTGCTCTGAGGACACACACACACACACACACAAACACACACACACACACATCATCACTGTTAAACACACACACACACACACACACACACACACACACACACACACATCATCACTGTTAAACACACACACACACACACACACACACACACACAAATCCCCTCTCTTAGGCTGAACATTTGAAGACAGAGAACCCGACTCAGAGCCAATGCAACAGTGACAGTAGCCTGGAGGGGACCTCGCCCAACTCATCAGGACCAATCAGAAGATCAGAACTACTAGATTCAACCTACTTCATTTATTGCATAAAATGTCTGCACACAATGTTTCGGGGCTCTCTTCAGATAATAATAATAATAATAATAATAATAATAATAATAATATGCCATTTAGCAGACGCTTTTATCCAAAGCGACTTACAGTCATGCGTGCATACATTTTTGTGTATGGGTGGTCCCGGGGATCGAACCCACTACCTTGGCGTTACAAGCGCCGTGCTCTACCAGCTGAGCTACAGAAAGTGGATACTCATGGATGCGCATCGCAATTGTAAAATGTCAACACAATTGGAGACACCACGTCATTTTTGGAGACATGTTATTGACAGTAAACTATTGTAGATGCGACTGCTAACTAAATAAAACATTTTAGCTGGCTAGCTAATCATCTTAGCTAAATGTGGGGCAAACAATTCAGTTATTTACCGTTAATTTGAGGGATTGGGGTGAAAGAAATCGAGTTACATAGTGATACTTTACGATATACTGTATTGACAATATCGCAATATTTTAGCGCTAGTTGGCTGTACCTGCACCAAAACACCATTATTGTTCCTTCATAGCTTGTTCTCAATCTTTTCACATTGGGAGCCAATTTGTTTTCAGCACTTTTATTTCCATGACTGATCAAAACTCGTTCTCATGGCTTTCTGATCCCTCTGCAACAGACATATGGTGCGCAATAAAATCACAGTATCGAATCGCAATACGTATAGAATCATGAGACTCGCAATGCATATATCTTATCGTGAGGTTCCTGGCAATTCCCAGCTCAAGTTCATTTGCCACAACAAATCTCTTCGCTAGCAAACGCGATGTCTTCTCCAAAACGGCAATGTGTCTCCAGCAATGTTTACTTTTTTGACGTTCTATGGCATCTCCACTTTCCAAGCATATATGACCACATGTAATATTTTGGTAAGTGATGCAAATAGTGAACTATGTAGGGCCAGGATGTAAAATATATGTAGCTGCAGCAATTTCTCTTATCTGATATGGTAAGTAATGGGGCTTAATGTATAGCTCCCTAAGAGTTTGACGAACGGGTCCGTGCACGCGATTCCAGATATCTTTACCTCTGAATAAACTGCCTTTATTATACCATATCCACCCTGTCCAAAGTCTCTACTTGGTCTCAGTTCTCCAGTAAACTTGTGATTATCAACACTAACCTCATCGTTGTGGCGGCGGACAGCTAGCCTGTATCCCTCATCCAGTTGAGTGGCAATGTTATTTTTTCGTTCGTACCAATTTTTGGAAAATCCTCGGGTGTAGGACTTTCCGCCTTTAGTAGAAACCTGTTGAATTATTAAATTTGGTCTGGGAGGTCCTAATTGTTTCGTTGCCAATTTATCTTGATTTGTTCGCCGACAAAAAGGAACTTCTTTCAAAGAGACAATCGAGTTGCACTGCCATTTTGACAGTAATAGTGAATTGATTGATGAGGCTACCCGCTCTTTTCTTAGTTACGTTCATGGTTATGTTACGTATGACGAAAGCGCGTAAGTGCAAGCCCTCAGACACCCATAGAGATTGTATTGAAAGCTCTGATATTTGAAAAAAATAGATTTTACATGGGAGTCTATGACAGACTTCTGGGCGATTTTCAACCTGACTGAAATCGCCCCAAAAGGGGGGGTGGCCATTTGAAGCACGACTTTAGCCTGATTGGACAGATTAGTGGCAGATCACACCAGACGTCTAGATTACAACACTGATAACTACTGTTGCCGTGATATAATTGATTAGAAAAAAAATCCCTTCCTTTTCCCGTTTGGCAGTGCGTCGCCCATATCGCCCTATTGAACACACCGCCCCTGCCTGAAATGTAATCTCTACTCATCCGGGGCACCGGGCCATGAGAAAACAATCTCGTTCATTAACTCTTCAAGTAGCAGAGAAGTACGGTTTGTCTTCTGTGAAATGTGGCATAGCCTACCTACAGCAGAAAATGAAAATACATATGTCTTTTTGAAAAGTAAATATTGCTATTTTTATGCATTCTCTAAAATTACAAATTGAAACGTTTCTAGGGTCATGTTGGGGGCTTTACACACTGCTGAGCCAAACAAAGCTATACCAAGCTTGGTTACGCATCAACCATAGGTTCGAATCCCCAAGCCAGCACGGTGGAAAAATCAGCCGTTCTGCTCTTGAGCAAGGCAGTTAACCCCCCCAACAACACCTGCACCCCGGGCGCGGATGACATGGATGTCGATTTCAGAGGGGGTTGGGTTGAATGCATAAGGCACATTTCGGTTGAACGCATTCAGGTGTACAACTGACTAAATATCTCCTTTCCCCGGAAGTGCTGAAAAGGTCAGTGTGAAAATAAAATAGTATTTATAACAGTTTGTGAAAAGGCTATTGAAAAGTTACTGATGTACAAACACCTTGAGGGTGGTCATGATGAGTCTCATGATTACAGAGTTTATGAACTGTGATACATTGACAGTGAGAGTGGAAAAACACGCACCAGAATTTCAAATAAAGCGTTGAGAAAACCTTTAATTATTAGGTGTCTTAACCATCAAATTATAACTACACACATGCAATTTGTTAAAAAGCAGAAAAATGTGTGCACTCTTTAATAGTAATAGTTTATGGTAAGGTGCTCTCGTTTCCCAGGCTTAGTTGTGGCATTGACGTTAACCTCGTTTTAATTTTCCAAAATGGATGCCAAGTCAATAAAGGTTATTTTCTGGTAAGAGTGCCTTGGAGTTTTTGGGAAGAATTCAGACCCCTTGACCTTTTCCACATTTTGTTACTTTACAGCCTGATTCTAAAATGTATTACATTATTTTTTCCCTCACCAATCTACACACAATGACAAAGCGAAAAAACAGTTTTTTTGACATTTTTGCAAATGTATTACAAATAAAAAACTGAAATACCTTATTAACATAAGTATTCAGACCCTTTGCTATGAGACTCGAAATTGAGCTCAGGTGCATCCTGTTTCCATTGAGCATCCTTGAGATGCTTCTACAACTTGATTGGAGTCCACCCGTGGTCAATTAAATTGATTGGACATGATTTGGAAAGGCACACACCTGTTTATATAAGGTCCCACAGAGCAAAAACCAAGCCATGAGGTCGAAGGAATTGTCCATAGAGATATGAGACAGGATTGTGTCGAGGCACAGATCTGGGGAAGGGTACCAAAACATGTCTGCAGCATTGATGGTCCCCAAGAACACAGTGGCCTCCATCATTCTTAAATGGAAGAAGTTTTGAACCACCAAGACTCTTCCTAGAGCTGGCCGCCCGGCAAAACTGAGCAATCGGGGGAGAAGGGCCTTGGTCAGGGAGGTGACCAAGAACCCGATGGTCACTCTGACCGAGCTTCAGAGTTCCTCTGTGGAGATGGGAGAACCTTCCAGAAGGACAACCATCTCTGCAGCACTCCACCAATCAGGCCTTTATGTTAGAGTGGCCAGACGGAAGCCACTCCTCAGTAAAAGGCACATGACAGCCAGCTTGGAGTTTGCCAAAAGGCACCTAAAGGACTCTCAGACCATGAGAAACAAGATGATCTGGTCTGATGAAACCAAGATTGAACTCTGGCCAGAATGCCAAGCGTCACATCTAGAGGAAACCCGGCACCATCCCTACGGTGAAGCATCATGCTGTGGGAATGTTTTTCAGCGGCAGGGACTGGGAGACTAGTCAGGATCGAAGGAAAGATTGATGGAGCAAAGTACAGAGAGATCCTTGATGAAAACCTGCTCCAGAGCGCTCAGGACCTCAGACTGGGGCTAAGGTTCACCTGCCAACAGGACAACGACCCTAAGCACACAGCCAAGACAACGCAGGAGTGGCTTCGGACAAGTCTCTGAATGTCCTTGAGTGGCCCAGCCAGAGCCCGGATTTGAACCCGATCGAACATCTCTGGAGAGACCTGAAAATAGCTGTGCAGTGACGCTCCCCATCCAACCTGACAGAGCTTGACAGGATCTGCAGAGAAGAATGGGAGAAACTCCCCAAATAAAGGTGTGCCAAGCTTGTAGCGTCATACCCAAGAAGACTCAAGGCTGGAATCGCTGCCAAAGGTGCTTCAACAAAGTACAGAGTAAAGGGTCTGAATACTTATATTATGTAAATGTGATATTTCTGTTTTTATTTTTTGTAAAAATGTCTAAGAAAACAGTTTTTGCTTTATTATGGGGTATTGAGTGAATATTGATGAGGGGGATTTTTTATTTATTTTTTTAAATCAATTTTAGAATAAGGCTGTAAGGTAACACAATGTGGAAAAAGTCAAGGGGTCTGAATACTTTCCGAATGCACTGTATCCTACAAGTTTAGCTTCTCATTTTTCATGAATAAACATTAGCATTTTTATCATGTAGGAAGGCCTTTTACATTCATTCAGTTTTGGTGAACACAAAAAAATAAATTCACTCATCTTACTGCGTGCGATAGGAAACAGTGACAAATCACCCTAACAATGCAATGAGTAACAGATTAATAATACCTTGATATAAAAAAAAATTACTAATTTTAAACCAGCTGACAACATTTTCAGCCCACACTTTTTCCATAGGAATGGAATAATATATACTGTAATAAGAAGGATTAGGATACTACCATGATTACGCCCACTGCTGCATCCAAAATACATTATAGGACTAAAAAACACCACTGAAGCATCATCCCGAGGTTCAAAAGATAAAATGTCAGGTTTTTAAATCAGCAATTTTTCAGCAATTAAGGACAGAGTAAAACCAAGTGTACATCTTTGACATAGTTAAAGACAGATAATTAAAATAAAACCATACAAAATAAATTACATCACGTTTCAAGGAATAACAACTGATAAGTATCCAAGAGTGAGAGACGGCAAGGTTTGATTCAAAATCAATAGCATGACAAAACAACATGTTTAAAGGTCATTATTGATTTTAAAAAACAAAGAGGGCTGAAATTCAAATGTCCTCTTTTTTTTTGCTCCTGTGCGAGGCGGCTAACTTCCTGTGAGCTGTGGTTTCCTTCCTGGGTGAAAGGGCGTGCATGGAGGCGATCTGGCGAGCCGAGGCCCGCTGGTGAGTGGAGTGGCTGCCGTCCTTGAGATCACAGCTCAACAGCGCAGACTGCAGAGCCTGGACATAGGCTGGATGAAAGACAAACAGAATCATGAACACATCCATCCCATTCATAGCACATCATACTGAACCTCAGGGTCGAGTTCATCAGGGACCAAACGTAGGAAAACGGACTGAAAAATGGACTTGCCCAATAAGAAACCCTCATTTTATCATTTTCGGTTGCAATGTTTAAAAAAAAATATATATATATATATATTGCGTGCCCTAATGAACACGACGCAGGTAAACTAGAATAGGGAAAATAGGAAAGAATCAAAATGAGGAAAATATGGAAGGAAGTTGATACTTTGAATGAACAGGTTACTATAAATGGGTAACTGATAAACGTCAGTAGGTTCATGTTGAGGGACCTTGACATAGTTGCGTAATAATTGATGAACATATTCTATGTGGAAATGATACATACTCTACATGGTAAACATACATCAAGGGTGCAAGTCACCTATCTTGGCTTGCAGCAGGTCAAATAATTACCATACTGTTCTTTTGGAGGTAGCCTATTGGCTTGTGGTTGAGACATGTGGTGCCGTTTGTACCTTTAGGGTTGTTGTAGAAGACACAGTTGTTTGCGCAGGTGTCAGGATGGGAGTCCCAGAAACTGTCTCCGCAGCAACAGAGAGGAGGGAGCTCTGTATTCTCCAGAGCTATCCTCTCCTTCATCTGAGCTCTCAGAGCCTCGATGTACCTGCCACAGGACACAATACAATCTGTATTGTTCCATTTTCTGTCAAAGTACCCAACCTGTCACATAATAACACACACAACACAGGCTGGGACACAGGGCCTTATTCTCTAGGTTCACCAGCACAAACACATTTAGGGCCGGTTACCTGGACCCAGATTATTCCTGGACTAAAAAGTACTTTAAATGGATATTAAACATTCAGCATGATTTCTAGTCTAGGAGTAGGGTCAGGAGTAGGCTAGAATCTAGATGTATGTGTTTTCTAAAGTATCAAAAAATTGTTTGCCATGATTATCACGAGCAAACATCAGAATTCAATTTTTTACACTGGTATTTTCTAGAAAGAATAACGTCTTTCATATTTCCCAATGTGACTTTTGGAGGAGTAGTGCACATGATGTGTTGCTCAAGGACAAAAAAATAATATATTGGCAGAATATTTGGCAGAAGATAGAATAAAGGGACAGATACTGTACAATTATCAAAAACCTTCTGGGCCGTATCTAGCCCATTTAATTTCAGATTGTATTGATTAATAAAGTTACCTTGTGGCTTCTTTATCTTTCTTTCCTCTCTCTTTCTTCTCTAACACCTCTGCCCTCTCCTCTTCCTCAAGTCTCAGTCGCTCCAGAATGAGAAATTCCCTCTCAGCCATTTCCAGTCTATCCTCCTCCAGCTGCTGCAGTCTCTCCAGCTTCCTCTCCTCTTCCAACCTCTTCTGTTCCTTTTCTGCTTTTATCCTACAGTGGAAAAAGAAATTCAGACAAAACTTCATTAAAATGTGTGCTTATTTAGCAATTGGATGTAATGCCACTATCTACATTGTTCCACATAAAAAAACAAAAACAATTATATTGTAGAGACCATGTTGAAGGAGTATGAATGTATATATGAATCAGGGTTGGGTTTAATTCCATTTAAATAAAGTCAATTCAACAAGTACACAGATTCAAATTGGAAAAACTAAGGAAATCTAGAATTTCTGTTTAATATCTCAATTGACTGCATTGAAATGAGATGTACCCCTACTCTGATATGAATTCAACATTTGACAGCACCGATTACTAAAAGTGACATGTTTTGAAAACCACATATGGCTCAAACAGGAAGAGAGTATATCTAGAAGAGGAAATAAATGCGTTAATTGTGGTTGTGCCGAGTCACCTTCCGATTCTCCTCAGGTGCTTCCTGTGTCTCTGATGCTCCTTGACTTGTTCTCTCTCAATGTCCATGACTAGGCGCCGGTACATCAGAAACTGAGACTGACGCTACAAACAAACATTGTTAGAGTTAAGGTAAAGTTGTTTTATGGTGTCAAGGGGTATAATTTTATAAAATGTGCATATTAATGCATTGGAAGCAAAGACCAAAGTTTTAAGCAAATACACTACATGGCCAAAAGTATGTGGACGCCTGTTCGGCGAACATCTCATTCCAAAATCACGGGCATTAATATGAAGTTGGTCCCCCCCTTGCTGCTATAACAGCCTCCACTCTTCTGGGAAGGCTTTCCACTAGATGTTGGAATATTGCTGTGGGTTACTTGCTTCCATTCAGCCACAAGAGCATTGGTGAGGTCGGGCACTGATGTTGAGCGATTAGGCCTGGCTCGCAGTCGGCGTTCTAATTCATCCCAAAGGTCAGGGCTCTGTGCAGGCCAGTCAAGTTCTTCCACATAGATCTCAACAAACCATTTCTGTTTGGACCTCGCTTTGTGCAGGGGGCATTGTCACGCTGAAACAGGGAAGGGCCTTCCCCAAATTGTTGCCACAAAGTTGGAAGCACAGAATCGTCTAGAATGTCATTGTATGCTGTAGCGTTAACATTTCCCTCCACCGGAACTAAGGGGCCTAGACCAAACCATGAAAAACAACCCCAGACCATTATTTCTCCTCCACCAAATTTTACAGTTGGCACTATGCATTCGGGCAGGTTGCGTTCTCCTGGCTCCTAGACGTTTCCACTTCACAATAACATTACTTACAGTTGACCGGGCAGCTTTAGCAGGGCTGACTTGTTGGAAAGGTGGCATCCAAACAACAGCCAATGTTTGTCTATGGAGATTGCATGGCCGTGTGCTCGATTTTATACACTTGTCAGCAACGGGTGTGGCTGAAATAGCTGAATCAATTAATTTGAAGGGGTGTCCATCTACTTTTGGCCATGTAGTGTATTTTACTAAATGCTAACTAGTTGAAAGTGTGTCTTGAAAATATGTTGTACTTTTTGGGCTGAAAATACACTAAGCCACCGTACTGCACGAATCATTGTGTTTCATACAGTATTAGTTAATCTCTAAAGGGGGGATTTGGTGGAGGGCTGTGTGTAAATATGGTCAGTGATAAAAGTAATTTGATAGCCATCCAAGAAAGGGTGTATATTCATAAACACTAAAACCCTATAATATAGTTCTAACTGGCCTTAATCACCTGTCTCTTCAGTTCCTCCTGGTCTTCTTGGGGCCACAGCACTTGAGTAGCTCTATGGTCAGTACTAAACTCATTACTATGACCTGCAGGATAAGGCTCACTAAAGAGCCTCGGACACACCTGCAACACACACGGGTGTGAAATATTGATTATTAGCTGTCACAGTAGATGCGTTTTGGCCTTCAAGCAGTCTTTTTCAGAAAAGTTGGGTGACTCCTGGACAAAGGCACCCAAAGACTCATTTACAGAACTTAGTAAGGGTTGAGCACCTCTCGTTGTGCATTATGAAAGATTAAACCTTTAGGGTAGCTTAGTTGGAGTTACAAAGGAAACTATATAGATTGACAAACAAACAACTTGCTATAGCCTGACTAAAGGAATGTTAGGATAAGGATGTGAGTCACAGGACTATTGACTGTGTGGGGTTTGGGGAAATGGGAGTGTTTGGAAATTGGAGAAGTGTTAAAAAGAGAACACTTGTGGTGACCGACCGGATTGTTGTCAAAGGTGACAGTCTTGCTCCTGTGACCCTCGTGAGGATCAAAGTTCTGAAGAGGGGAGTCGTGTTGCCCAATCAAAGGAATATCTTCCTCCTCCTCCTCTTCTTCTTCTTCTTCATGATCCTCCTCTTCTCCTTCCTCTTCTCTTGTCACCCGATATACAGGTTTCTGTTTTGAGTTAGAAAGCATAAAATGTCTTACAGTAAATACAGTATTCCTGCAATTGAGAGTTCCAAATTATAAAGTTATATCCAAAGAAACATCAATATTTTACCCTGCATAGGGCAATGTCCCCAATCACTGCCCTGGAGCATTGGGATATTTATTTTTTTAGACCAGAGGAAAGAGTTCCTCCTACTGGCCCTCCAATAGTACTCCCAGCAGCATCTGGTCTCCCATCCAAGGACAGACCAGGACAAACCCTGCTTAGCTTCAGAGGCAAGCCAGCAGTGGGATGCAGGGTGGTATGCTGCTGGCCAAATATATAGAGGTAGAATAAATTCATTCTAATTCTATGGTTATCTGACATTTTTGTAATAACTGACTTTGGCCAGTTAGAAAGGGGCAGTATAAACAAACTCACATCTCTGGTAGGAGACACCTTCCATATTCCCCCAGGGAGCTCTGACATCACTTCTCCGTCTCGGACCGTCTGACAGGCTGCCAGTCTGTGCCTGACCTGCCTCATGACTTTGCTGAGCTGAAATACCAAAACCAACCCGTATGATTACCTATTTTATCTATAGAGCTAATGACAGAAGTAATGGCAATGTCACTGACTTAATATGAGCAGAATGGCTTCAACATCTGTGTAAATAATCCATTGGCATTATTGAGGATAAACAGGTAGGTAGCCTAGGTCTATATAGCTGCATTTACACAAGCAGCCCAATTGTGATCTTTTGCCCAATTACAGACAAAGGATCTGATTGGTCAAAATACCAATTAGTGGCAAAAATATCAGAATTGGGATGCCTGTGTAAATGCAGCCTTTGTTGCAGAGCTCAATGATGGATATAGGCTGTGTTTACACAGGCTGCCAATTCTAATCTTTTACCCAAAAGATCTGATCTGATTGGTCAAAAGACCGGTGTAAACGCAGCCGTGGACGCACGTTAGATATAGATTCGAATCAATAACAATATCCACTCAGTGCTTGTGTGTGGCTTCATTCAATGTTTTTATAACAACAGATAAAAAACAAATACTACTTGCTTTTCCTTTACTGTAACAAGCACAGATTATGCAAGGCTACTGGTATTTAGAAGTTTTTTTATGTTCTTGCAATGACCGAGATATGTGGATGTTTTTCTTACATCCATTGAATGCATGGAATAGAATGACTAACATGTAAATGTCAATGTAGATCATCACAGATAAGTTTAGCCACCTGATGCGTTTGCTGATCTGTCCTGTTTTCTCTGTTGCTGCTCTCATGGCCCTGTGGTCGGACCCAGCGAGAGTTGGGGCTGCAGATGGCTAGCTCTCGCTGTGGGGAGTAGGGGAACAGATTCTTTGTGGGGGTCAACCTCTGCGCTGCATCGCTGGACTGCTGGAGCACTCTCCCCTCACGCTCCACCTGTAAAGAGAAACAACGCAGGCTCTTGATAGAGGTGGTGCTCATTTACCCATAGTCAATGTCATTTACATGTGTAGTAGCTAGCTACTATACTTGGAAAACAAGATAACTGTATTCCTGCCATTTGTAAGGCTTTGTTGTTTTTATGTTTTTTTAAAATGATGTTGGCGTACTAACTGTGCTCCACCATGAACAGCAATTGTAATACAATATGTCCATTATCCACATAATATAGGCTAGTCACCGTCTCGCATGACTTCTGAAGCTGCCGCCTCTTGAGGATTTGAGCCTGTTGTGCCACGCGGCGGCGCACTTCTTCCTGAAACCGGCGAAGACTATCCTCTTTCTCCCGTTGCATCTCCACCTGTAGCTCCTCAGTTAGCAGGGCACGAACCTGGCTCATACGAGAGAATAAGTCAACAGGTAAATATGCTAACTAGCTACCTATTCAAGTAGAATAATTTATGTACGGCTACACTTACAGTTGGATGCTCATCCTCCTGGTAGTCTTGTCCACTCTCCACCCAGGCGCCAACAGGTGCAACTGCTTGATTCCTCTCGGCCAATACATTATTTCGATGACCATGTTTGCTTTGAGCATGTACTGTTATCCCACTAATTGAAACTTTGGTTGTGCCCTTTACTTTAAGATTTATAGGGGCCATGTTGCTAGCCAGATTGCTAGCTATCCAGGCAACGTTTGTTAACTTCTGAGTTAACGTTAGCTAGCTACTTCTTCAACCAACCTAATACGTTTCACGATCTGCAACAGCGTTGAAATGAGTATTAAATGTCCGGATGCCTATAAATCATTTGCGAGTATTACATCTGTGAACATAACCTTTCTGAATTATTCAAGTGTGTTTGGCTTCTCAACTGCCACAGTAGACGCTTGTTGTTGTTGGTGACGTATTAACAGTGCGACCATTTTGGCTCCCCACACTTAATTTATATTGGTTCCTTCTAGAGAATCTGCGATCTGAATGGTCGTACCAGATGTCAATCAAACCATGCACAGTCCAGCCTGCTCCAAACTTCCTCTCTGCTCAGAAGCACCCAAGGCATAATAGTGAGTTGATAAAATTATATTTAGGCTGTTAGAATCTGTTAAACAGATGTATTCAACCTCCCCCTGTGTATTTCCTGTCCTCCACGATTAAAAGAGGGGCAATTATTTGATACATGGTAATAAAGTAGCAATAAGTGGTGGACAGTATACTGCTGTTACGACTAAAGGCCAAGCTTTTATTTAGGTTATAAACCACTGACAAAGCTTGCACACAGACACACACATCGCTGTCCTGGTGCTCGTCTGCACCGCTGAGTCCACGGATCGAGTCCACCTTCTCACCCTCTACATTGGCTGGCTACCGTGGTGCGATAATTCCCAGGCCTTTGTTGGAAGTGTGCTGCTGTCGCAGCTGCCTATTTTGTGTGAATACACTTTTCCAAGAGAGGGGGAATGTAAGCGGTGTATGTGCCAGGACCCGAGGCCCGGCTTTTGTGGAACAGGTCGTGACCATAGACGCTCTGCTCTGCACTACAGGCCCCCTCTTCAGCTGTTGTTACTCTCTACACTGGTCAGCTACAATTGCATTACAGAAACCTAATGTCAAACTCTTCTCAGGTAGCTGAATCAAGCTGGATTGGCTTGAAATACATTTGCAGATAAATTGCTAATTTCCATCTATGGAAATAGGCGGTTTGATTTAGGCCCACTGAAAAGTCCAAGTACACAGTGACATAGTTTTCTCATGAGAAAACATAGTAACAACACGTAATTGTTATCCAGGCATGTAATAATCTGTCCCTGTTCTGTGGACAAATTGTGTAATGTCTCTACTCCAACGTATACATTAATGTATATATTGGGATAGGCAGATGAATCACTTTCTTTCTTCTCCATGCCTCAACTACACAGCTGTAGTGGTCACTGAACAGGCGTACTATTGTCCTATGACTGTGAATCAGCAAACAAATTCTCTGTGTGTGTGTGAGAACAGAATGAGGAGCATTTGACAAAAATGAACAAATTACATGAAGCTTGTACTGTACTGTGTTGAAAGTATGTCCCCTCTGTTTTATTGCAGGGCACAAACATTCTCTGTGGAGAGAGAAGAAGAGATTACATTGATGTCGACAACGATGGGTGCAGCCTACCACGGTCTGAAGAAGTCCCACATAAGCTAATGTTAAGGAAGTCACACTGCTTGCTTAGCGAGTACCGTTTCCTCCTGATTCGGCTCATACCAAGGCTCAAACCCAGCACCTCTGCCTCGCTAACACCCCTGACCACCCTCCAGAAGCATCTTACCCTGTTGCGCCACCAAAAAGCTAGCTATTCGGCAGCACCAGTAGAGACATTTCAGGCTGAGGAGTGAGTTTCACAGATCGCCATCTGCTACATTCACCCCCCAAACCCACTCCACAGCGACCCCAGCATTGAGCTGAGCACAACTGATGATCCGGAACACAGCACCATTGTAAAAGACGTCACGCTGCTTGCTTAGCGATTACCGCTTCCTCCTGATTCATTCATACCGAGGCTCGAACCCAGGACCTCTGCCTCGACACGTAACCGCCCTCCTGAAGCGTCTTATACAGTTGCGCCACTGAAAAAGTTGCTATTCAGCAGCGCAAGTGGAGACTCTTCAAGCTGAGGAGTGAGTTTTACAGATTGCCATCTGCTACACTAACTTGTTTTTCCAATTCATTTCTGCATGGATAAATAGCTAAATTGCATGCTCACATGAAGATGCAAACTGACAATATTGAGGATAAAGTGTTTGAAACATTCAAAGATTCACTGAAGTTTAATTTGAGTGAAACAAATGTATAAATGACAACCAATATTTCCTCCTCATCATGCCTTTAATAAACATCTCTACTGATATGTACAATGTATCCTTTGATTTTCTAAAAAATTCGATGAATCTATACAAAAGAAAAACATTTAATGGTTATTCAGCTATGATACCCAATAAAACAGAAAATTATTAGTTAAATAACAAACATCCACACAATACAAAATGTACCAACATATGAAGAAATTGGTATCTTTAAAGAGAGGTTTTCTACATTATACAATTTAACAGGTCTTAAAGAATAGGACATAATAGAATGGAAGAAAAAATAGTAGGCTAACTAACGTGTCATAACATAAAACCTAAAACTGACCCATACAGTTGTGGAGGATGACAGTGTATTTACAAACCTATTGAGATTATTACGTTCGGTGTTGGGTTCTGAGACAAACATTACTGCACTATAACGTCATATAAAACATATTTACATACAGTACCAGTCAAAAGTTTGGACACACCTACTCATTCAAGGGTTTTTCTTTATTTTTACTATTTTCTAAATTGTAGAATAATAGTGAAGACATCAAAACGATGAAATAACACATATGGAATCATGTAACAACCAAAAAGTTGTTAAACAAATCTAAATAGATTTTAGATTCTTCAAAGTAGGCACCCTTTGCCTTGATGACAGCTTTGCACACTTGGCATTCTCTCAACCAGCTTCACCTGGAATGCTTTTCCAACAGTCTTGAAGGAGTTCCCACATATGCTGAGCACTTGTTGGCTGCTTTCCCTTCACTCCGCAGTCCAACTCATCCCAAACCATCTCAATTGGGTTGAGGTCGGGTGATTGAGGAGGCCAGGTCATCTGATGCAGCACTCCATCACTCTCCTTCTTGGTCAAATAGCCCTTACAAAGCCTGGAGGTGTGTTGGGTCATTGTCCTGTTGAAAAACAAATGATAGTCCCACTAAGCGCAAACCAGATGTGATGGCGTATCGCTGCAGAATGCTGTGGTAGCCATGCTGGTTAAGTGTGCCTTGAATTCTAAATAAATCACAGACAGTGTCACCAGCAAAGCACCCCCACACCATAACACCTCCTCCTCCATGCTTCACGGTGGGAACCACACATGTGGAGATCATCCATTCACCCACACTGCGTCTCACAAAGACACGGCGGTTGGAACCAAAAATCTCAAATTTGGACTCATCAGACCAAATAACAGATTTCCACCTGTCTAATGTCCATTGCTCGTGTTTCTTGGCCCAAGCAAGTCTCTTCTTCTTATTGATGTCCTTTAGTAGTGGTTTCTTTGCAGCAATTCGACCATGAAGGTCTGATTCACGCAGTCTCCTCTGAACAGTTAATGTTAAGATATGTCTGTTATTTGAACTCTGTGAAGCATTTATTTGGGCTGCAATTTCTGAGGCTGGTTACTCTAATGAACTTATCCTCTGCAGCAGAGGTAACTCTGGGTCTTCCATTCCTGTGGCGGTCCTCATGAGAGCCAGTTTCATCATAGCGCTTGATGGTTTTTGCGACTGCACATTTTCCGTATGTCTTAAAGTAATGATGGAGTGTCGTTTCTCTTTGCTTATTTGAGCTGTTCTTGCCATAATATGGACTTGGTCTTTTACCAAATAGGGCTATCTTCTGTATACCACCCCTACCTTGTCACAACACAACTGATTGGCTCAAATGTATTAAGAAGGAAAGAAATTCCACAAATTAACTTTTAACAAGGCACACCTGTTAATTGAAATGCATTCCAGGTGACTACCTCATGAAGCTTGTTGAGAGAATGCCAAGAGTGTGCAAAGCTGTCATCAAGGCAAAGGTTGGCTATTTGAAGAATCTCAAATATAAAATATATTTAGATTTTAAAAAATAAACATTGGTTACTGTATGATTCCATATGTGTTATTTGATAGTTATGATGTCTTCACTATTATTCTACAATGTAGAAAATAGTAAAAATAAAGAAAAACCCTTGAATAAGTAGGTGTGTCCAAACTTTTGACTGGTACTGTATATACATACAGTCACCATGTGAACATACAGAGATATACATGTCTCTCTGCAGCACCAAGGCATGGAGGGGGGAAGAGCATGTTGACCAGGGGTGGACAACAGGAGCCACACTGTGTGCCAGCTTTTTTCCTAGCCCAGCTTCAACACACCAGTGCCATATTCATTAGGCCACTCAAAACAAAATGATTTAAAACGTTTTGCAACGAAAAAAGAAAAATAATATTTCTTATTGGACAATTCCAGTTAGTCCCTCCCTGTTTCAGGCCATTTTGTTCCCTTTGGTGCCTAATGAATACGATCCTGTTTCAACTAGTCACAGTTTTCAATTTAGACCAGATGTCTTAGTGTTGGGCTGAAACATAAGTCTGCACACACTTTATCCCTCCAGGACTTGTAGATAGACAATCACGGCTGAGTGGTACCATTGCTCTCCAGTGTGGGGGTGGGCTCTTCCAACTGACAGGCAGGCGGTACGCCGACTGGGGCGCGGAATATGCGCCCGGAGCTTCGAGTGCGGGGTGGGGAGGGGGTGGAGGACTTGCTCTGCACCTTATTGTTGTGATGCGAAGGGGGGGAGCTGATTGGAGTGCGGGGGTACCTGCGAGAGGAGCGGGCGGGGGGGTCAGGGGAGCGTGAGGAGGGGGGCAAGGAGCTGCTGTAGCTGGGGGGACTGCTGGGTGGTTCAGAGGGGGGGCCCATGCCCATGTTGCCGGGTGAGTCATGGTCGCCCTGATGGGAATCCTACAACGAGGGAAACCAAGTCAATACTCAGAAACACACACACACACACACAATGCTCTGAACAGGTCCCAAACAATACTAAGGTGTATTGGCTGTATTGTTTTCTACATTGAGCTATTGTAGTCATCTTAACAGCTGAATGAGGGTTGAGAAATAAACACCTACAAGCCCCCACCATATCTCTGGGCATTTTATCGATTTATTACATTCAAATTTATTCAAACAAAGGTTTATTTAGCTATGTTTTGAGTCAGATACTGATGACAGCTTTATATATTTTTTGTTATTTAAAGAGGTACCTCTTTGAGGATGTAGAGTGCCACTGGATTCTTGTGTTCATGTTCAGTCATCATTTTTGGTACAACGTCAACTGTACAAGATGAAAATGACATTGGATGAAAACCTTTGGTGCAGCAAAACAATTTATACATTCTTATGAATAATTAGGAAATATAAATCAAAGTAATTTGTAGGTTCCTTACCTGCATGATTGATTGGGGAATAATCAGGGTGTTCTATTAAATGTCTTGGCAGCCCTGCCAAACCTCTGGGCTTCATTTGCCGTTTCTGCCGCTCTCTGCACAATAAACGTACAATGTAAATGAGATTCAACTGTGTGCTAAAATTATACAGTATAAAACTGTTCAAAACAACATTGTTCATGTCAAATTTAACACTACAGTATATCAGTACAATTATTGTATTATAACATTGTAATTATTATTTTAATAAAACATTTGATTAATAATTGTATAATTCAATAATTATTATCACGTTAACTGGATTGCATTAATGAACTTGTCTATCAATATGCTTCTGCCATTTTACTAAGCTTCTCACTGTATTCCCAACCCGTAGGACCGGGAACAGACAGAAGCATCCAGAAACATGTAGAGAGTGAGACAAAAGTGGGTTTGGTTCTTACTTCTTTGATGGCCCCCAGCAGGCGCACACCGTAACCAAGGTGATAAGGAGGAAAATACCCCCGGTGGAGAGAATGATATAGAGGGAACTCCTCCCTGTTGGGGGAGGGTCAGGAGGGGAAGAGGGTCATAGACTGTGTCCCAAATGGAACATTTTTCCATATTTAGTGCACTACTTTTGACCAGGGCCCATAAGGCTCTGTTCAAAAGTAGTGCACTATATAGGGAATAGGAAAACAAACGGCACAGTAGAACTACTTAACAATATGTTCAAGCAGAATTACAGTATGTACTTCCTCCCCCGTCATCCCACGCACACACTCATGTCTCTGTGATGGAGTGATGTACTGGATGTATAGCCAGTGATCAACTTCCCTCCCACGCATTATCTTTTTGCTGCTGGTACATTAGGCTACAGTTAGTAAAATAAAAACTATCTATAGTTGCATTTGCCTTTTTTTCACCCCTTCTCTCACATACAAGGACTTGCTTTTCAGTGAAGTATTTGTTGCATGCCCTAGGCTTGAACCAGTACCAAGTAGGACTATAGGGAAAAGCGCTCTGAGATTACATTGATTTAGTGAGTACTTTCTAAAGTCATCTATATCGTGGGTTAGAGAGCCAGAGAGTATAACAGGAGTCATCCAGCCCCATCCCTCAATTTTATAGCAAAGCAAGTGGCAGGGTTGCCGTTTGACCGAAAACCGGATTACAGATTGTGGCTTTGAATTGCCACTGGTTCAAGCCTATAGTACCACTGTGTAGCCTACTGTAGACAGTGAGTTTGATGGGCAGGCTCTTCATGCTGCCAATAGGGTTCTCCACAGAGCAGCCGTAGATGTCATCATCCACCATCAGCACCCGCACGATCGTCAAGAGCTTCTGGTCAGTTGACAGCTGCAGACGCGTCTCATTGGTCAACAGTTTCCCGCCTTTCTGCCAGCTGTACTTCGCATTGGTTCCGTTGTCATGGGAGCAGTTGAGGGTGAAGTGCTCGCTGAGCTCCAGTACTGAGGAGGCCTCCATGTGGATGTAAGGTCTGGATATGGGCTCTATGGAGAAGAAGTATAGTAGTCAGACACGTCAAGACATGTCCCCAACTAAAAGATTAGGATCTCTTGTTCCTTCTGGGTCAAATGTTATACTGATATGATGAGTTTAAGAAGAAAAAAAATCTGTGAGTTACAGGTGAGCTAATGAACTCAGGTGTACATAAACAACTTCTCAGGTGACCCTATATGCGACGATGACTTTACAGGAACAACACGGTTTGGACCATTGTCCCCCGCACTTTCCTTGACAATTCAGCCAATGTTAAGGTCATACAAATATGTGAGAAATACTGTATAAACAAAAAGGATAAAAAATAATTTGGTTTTATAACAGACAATCCCAGAAGTTCCTACAAGCAGAGCCTCTTTCATGCAAGTCATGTCATGAAGGACAAGTAAACTTATCCTAGACTATGCACCAACCATCTCAATTGCCTTGTGGTTAGAGTGTCTTCCCTGAGATTGGAAGGTTGCAGGGTCGAGTCATACCAAAGACTCTAAAAATGGTGCCCAATGCATCTCAGCATTAAGGAGGTAAGACCCTGTGATAGACTAGCATCCTGTCCAGGGGGTGTACTTGTACATCAAGCTGCCTCACGCTACAGAATCAGGAGATAGGCTCCTGCTTACACTATGGACCACCTACCATCCACAGTCAGGTCGATACTCCCCTCTCCGGTGAAAGTATCATCCGTGATGGAGATCTCCACTTCATAGGTGCCCTCATCAGAGAGCTTGAGGTTGTGGAGTAGGAGGGTGCCATTCTCAAACACCAGGATGCGGTCCCGGTACTCGGGCCTCAGGTTCCCAATGATCTCGGTGCCGATGGACTGGACCACGGTGACGGGCTTGTCATCCCTCTTCAGCTGCCACTTGATGACGGGCGCGTCAGGGCTGGAGCTGCTGTAGCGAACGGAGAGGAGAGCCTCCCCGCCCAATGTGCCCCGGATCAGAGAGCCAGGGCTGGTGATGTTGACCCCCTTGACACTTCCTGGATACAGAGGAGATGGAACAGAGTCTATTTATTCAGGTTATACTGTATATTTAGCAGATTTCTATTCTATACCCGTCTCAGTTTATACGAATGGAACATGTGTTCCACCACTTACACGCATGTGTGACATGGATAAACTGATACATGCATTACAACGCAATAGGGTACAGGTGTATCCTACCTGCAATGCCATTTCAGGTTGCTACAAGTGTCTTTTAAATAGGCCTGGTGTAACAGTGTTGCTTCCGTCCCTTTAATCGCCCCAACCTGGGCTCGAACAAGGGACCCTCTGTCACCTCAACGATTGAAATGCTAGCCATTTCACACTGGTTACACTATCAAGCCATCCAATAACAAACTTTAACCAGATCGTGTACCCAAGGACACTTGGCCCACTTCCACAGGAGGTTGGTGGCACCTTAATTGGGGAGGACGGGGTCGTGTTAATGGCTGGAACGGAATTACTGGAATGGTATCAAATACATCAAACACATGGTTTCCATGTGTTTGATGCCATTCCATCAGCTCCGTTCCAGACAGTATTATGAGCCGTCCTCCCCTCAGCAGCCTCCTGTGGACCTTTCTATTCCATTACACTGTGAAGGTTAGTATTCTGAAGAATATTGGACTGTCCACAATCTCCACACCACCAATACCACCATCCCAGTCGTGTCTAAACCGTCCTTGATTAAGTGACATGCATTTGTGGATGGAAGGTGTGACATCGTTAACAGGTTATTGTCTGGGTTATGCTAAGCTTCCTCTCAGCCCCTTAGCTAGTTCAACAAGTTCACTACAAGGCATATCTCAAACTGTCTAACTTATGGCCAACAGATTTTGCAGCAATTCTTTCAGTTGATTGACCAGAGGTTTCTTTTTGAGGGAAATAGCCTACAGTGTGTGATCAGAGTGGGCTTATAAAGTGAAAGCCAAATGACTGTAGCTAACTCTGCTGGCTGTTGTTGTGGGCGTCAGGCTGCTGATGACTCGACTGTGGGCACCGGGCCCCCTCCTCCGTCGGGGCAGAGTGCGCTGGAGCGAGCCTGCGTGGCAGCACTGCATCGCCGTGGTAACGGCTCACAGTCCTCTTGGATGGCTGGGATAAGCTGACAAAAGGGGGGATTGTTTGGACCAATTTCCTCCCTGGCAGCCCATGAAAAGAGGCCTCAGAGCAACACAAGCTCCCCGATTGGCTGAGCCCGGAGACAGAGGGCCCCAGTGATTCTGCTGATGACAACACAACTGCATTGACATGACACAACCGCACCTCTAAAAGTACCAAGTATCATGTTTCTATGTTTGAGTCTGCACACCTTTTTGATATATCTCATAAACAATTAGATTGATATAGCGTACCAGTCAAAAGTTTGGACACTCCTACTCATTCAAGGGTTTTTCTTTACTTTTACTATTTTCTACATTGTAGAATAATAGTGAAGACATCAAAACAATGAAATAACACATATGGAATCATGTAGTAACAATAAAAGTGTTAAACAAATCAAAATATGTTTTATATTTGAGATTCTTCAAATAGCCACCCTTTGCCTTAATGACAGCTTTGCACACTCTTGGCATTCTCTCAACCAGCTTCACCTAGAATGCTTTTCCAACAGTCTTGAAGGAGTTCCCACATATGCTTAGCACTTGTTGGCTGCTTTTCCTTCACTCTGCCATCCGACTCATCCCAAACCATCTCAATTGGTTTGAGGTCGGTGGATTGTGGAGGCCAGGTCATCTGATGCAGCACTCCATCACTCCTTCTTGGTAAAATAGCCCTTACACAGCCTGGAGGTGTGTTGGGTCATTGTCCTGTTGGAAAACAAATGATAGTCCCACTAAGCCCAAACCGGTGGGATGGCATATCGCTGCAGAATGCTGTGGTAGCCATGCTGGTTAAGTGTGCCTTGAATTCTAAATAAATCACAGAGTCACCAGCAAAGCACCCCAACACCCTAACACCTCTTCCTCCATGCATTACGGTGGGAAATAGATAATCCGTTCACCCACACTGCGTCTCACAAAGACACAGCGGTTGGAACCAAAAATCTCAAATTTGGATTCCAGACCAAAATACAAGTTCCCACCTGTCTAATGTCCATTGCTCGTGTTTCTTGGCCCAAGCAGGTCTCTTCTTCTTATTGGTGTCCTTTAGTAGTGGTTTCTTTGCAGCAATTCGACCATGAAGGCCTGATTCACACAGTCCCTTCTGAACAGTTGATGTTCAGATGTGTCTGTGACTTGAACTCTGTGAAGCATTTATTTTATTTGAGCTGCAATTTCTGAGGCTGGTAACTCTAATGAATGTATCTTCTGCAGCAGAGGTAACTCTGGGTCTCCCATTCCTGTGGCAGTCCTCATGAGAGCCAGTTTCATCATAGAGCTTGATGGTTTTTGCGACTGCACTTGAAGAAACTTTCAAAGTTCTTGAAATGTTCCATATTGACTGACCTTCATGTCTTAAAGTAATGATGGACTGTCATTTCTCTTTGCTTATTTGAGCTGTTCTTGCTATAATATGGACTTGGTATTTTACCAAATAGGGCTATCTTCTGTATACCCCCCCTACCTTGTCACAACAACTGATTGGCTCAAACGCATTAAGAAGGAAAGAAATTCCACAAATTAACTTTTAAGAAGGCACACCTGTTAATTGAAATGCATTCCAGGTGACTACCTCATGAAGCTGGTTGAGAGAATGCCAAGAGTGTGCAAAGCTGTCATCAAGGCAAAGGTTGGCTATTTGAAGAATCTCAAATATAAAATATATTTTGATTTGTTTATCACTTTTTTGGTTACTACATGATTCCATATGTGTTATTTCATAGTTTTGATGTCTTCACTATTATTCTACAATGTAAAAAATAGTAAAAATAAAGAAAAACCCTTGAATGAGTAGGTGTGTCCAAACTTTTGACTGGTAGTGTATGTACAAAAGTATAGACTCCGCATATAGCTTCCCATTTATGTATCTAGGTCACACCTCAATACCATGAGATCAGGTCCTTCGCCAACGTCATACCAACCAACATCTTCCTTCTAACCATGATCCTCTCATCTTGGAGAATCCTCTGATTGTGCCATTCTCACAGAGCAGTTTGGTTCAATGACATCACCGTGAATACTGGTGGAGGGCTTTGGCGAACCTGCTGAACCAACTGGAAGACATCTGAGTAGCGTAGTTTCCACATGGGCTCTACAGAGATCAAATACCATTGATATGAACTAAACAGCTTCTGTACTCCAGAACGAATGCTTAAACTCTCTAAAGTAAACTCTATTTGCCAGTTTCCCAAACCCAGACTAAGCAGTCCTGGACTAAAAATCGTTCTCAATAGAGAATGTACATTGAAAGTACATTTTACTCCAGGATTTAATCTGGGTCCCATTGTGACTGCTTTCTGCCAAATAATATATCTTCATCAATCTCTTTTTATATTTGCAGATTATGTATAGTTTTATGAGTGTCATCAGAGTGTCATTTTTGTTCTAGTAATTTAGGAATAGTAATATAAAGACGTACTGTGTGGCAATGTGCAGTCAGTTTGAATGTTTTAAATGGGGTTTTATCGGAATATAAGCTAGTACACAACAAGGAAATGTTTATTTGCTTGTTTGACATGGAAATTGTGTTTTATGTAGTTGTTTTTGTAATTAAATGCTATTTATGCATATATGCTAATCAAATTTACATTTTAATTCATTCAATAAATATGCTGAGACATTTAAATTCATAATAGGGGCCTTATTAGGGGGTGTTGAATGATTAAGACAGTCATATATTTTGATTGAATAGATTAATTTACATGAAAACATTTAAAGTAGCCATAATTTAACATATTCTTGCAAGTAGGATATGAAAAACACAAAATGTATGTGTCCAACCTATCAGCCAAACAAATATGTCAGTCAGAAAATATGCATAAACCAACCTACTGTACACTTGCCCACTCCACTCTAAATACCTCCCACCCACATTGTCTTAGCCTTGCAAGTGAACACTACACATTCCTTTAAGTCAGCACAGATGTGTTGCCCCAAAACAGGGGATAGTTTCCCTTACCTGACTGTGATGAGACAAGAAGACACCAGAGCAGCAAAAGTTGAGGAGCGGCTATGGCTTTGGAGAGAGCCTCCCTCTCTGCCTTCATCTTGGGTCTAACGCTCCGTTTCTCTCCCAGACAATTAGCATGATTTGTCCACTCTGGGCACGTCCCCCGAAAGAGCACACAGACATTCCTCCAAGGCAGGGCTCCACTAGGACTGGGTGCACAGCACAACAAAGCAACACAACAGCAGCGTGTGTGTGTGTGTGTGTGTTTAGTAGAACAATCGTACAGAAAATAAAGCACACATCTTGTTTATTTTCTGTACAATTCTGGATTTGCAGTTAGACTACTTTTAAAACTTGCATAGTAAGCTTCTAAGCATGAGTTACATTCCAAGTGCAGCACCTCAATGAATACATAAATGTCCCTTTAAAACGTCACTTAAGCTTATTCAAATACACTCCTGAAATGGAAATGGCCAAAATGAGCTGACAATGCCATGGCAAGACCTAGGCTATTCAGGTTTTACCCTGGCAACTGAATGTTTATACTCTGCCTCAGTCTGGAGCCACTTGTTGTTCCTCTGTTCTCAATATAAGGGGCATAGAGAGGAGGGCCCTCCTCTAATGGTCCTGCTGAGTAAAGGAAAGGCCTGCGTCTCAAATGGCATCATATTCCCTATAGTGCTATTTGGGCCCTGGTAAAAAGTAGTGCACTATAAAGGGAATAGGGTTAGGGTTGTGGCGGTCATGAAATTTTGTCAGCTGGTGATTGTCAAGCAAATCACTGCCCGTCTCACTGTAATTGACCGTTAATTAGCACAAACACGTTTAACATCTCCTGGCTTCCACACACAGCCTACAAATATTTGTATCCAAATGATTTCAAAGGAAGCATGCACATGCGGCTATTCTGTGTTGAGCGGTTAACAAAGAAACTGGTCCTATATGCTTAATTTAGAGTTATTTATGAAACTTTAGTTGTGATACAAACATTGGGCTATATGTTTTGATTTTTAATACATTATAAGGCTGCATGATGGGACTCTAATGATGATTTGAAAAAAGTCGCAAGCTGCACACACTTCATCAGTCTCTCATTCTGTAACAGAGACGCAGGGAGTCAGGAAGCAGGTGCAGTCAGTGAGTTTAATAGGAACGAACATAGAGTGAATACAAAAACAGGAGTAGCGTCTAAACATGACAACAGGAAACAATACTACCTAATGGGTGATACAACGGAGTGCTAGATAAAGGGGAAGTAATCAGGGAGTGAAGAAGTCCAGGTGTGCATAATGATGGTTTCCAGGACCGGTGGTTAGTAGACCAGTGACGTCAAGCGGGGGAGCGGGGGTAGACGTGACACATTCACAATTTGACAAGCACTTGATAATATACCAGGCCTCAAATTTCTCGCCGGCATCCCCCTTGTGTGGCCGTAATGCACCCTAAAAAATCCATGCCTTTTGCGGCCAAACTGGCCATTGTGCCCTTGGCCTGAATATAATAGGTTAATTATAATTCCCTTCTCCCGGCTGCCTTGCTCCGAAGCACCTCTCACTCACATGGCTCTCTCAGATGTAGCCAATGCCCGTCATGTGATCGGGTCCTTCTCACAGGCATTTCAGCTAAGAAGTAGGCTACAAGTGAATGAAGGCATACACATCCGGGACGCAACTGTGTGACCCTGTTATCGAATTCCGAGGAACTGTCCACATTTAGCCTACTTTTCATCAGCCAAAAAGATGAGTAGGCCTAACGAACAGCAAAAGCACTAGTCTATGTCAATCTACTATCCCCCATAGTATAAAAGTTGACATATTATATTGGTCAACTTGTCCTTCTGTGCAATAAATAAATATTCCAAACATACTCTGGGACAGTTGTGGGATGCGATAGATCCCAAATCAATACAACCACTCGCATCAAAAAAACTTGGCTGATCGTTTAGCTTAAAATATTGATAAACTATTAGACTATTTTTTCACATTATAAGCGCAGTAATGAACACACA